GCGAAGTAAACCATGCTGATAAGAGGTAGGTGTCGCTGATTTTTACAGGCATGGTGTACCGTACTTCGCGGCTACTTATTGATTGCATTCTCCGCTCGATCCTGAAGGTTGCATTATTATTTTTACATTATTCTTACTGTATTCTTTCTAGTGATGATCAGTATTTGCTATCTGAGTCAACTGATTACAGAATACTTACCACCAAGATCTCTGAAGTCCTCATTGGAATCTCGACATAGCATGTTTGTTCTCGATGAAGTTCAACCCTGTTCTGTTCTGTTTGCAGGTAACTCCAGAGGCCGGACAGAATTGGACTGTCATACCAAGTCGAATCGGCGCAAAGGTACGAAGTGTGAAGTCTGTATTGCTCGGACGTCTTTGCCTTTGACCACATTTATCTGATGATTGAATTGGTTATGATCTTTTTTGATTGCATCATTTCGCCCCTATCTGACAAAATGTCTCCTTGTTTATAGTTGTAAGCCTTTTTGCTTACACATGCTAACGTCATTCTCTTCCTTTCAGTTCATGTACTGTGAGGGCAGCTAAGGATGACTACGTTTGACTTCCACCGTCCTGAACTCGAGGTGAGGATTCGTGGCATGCTCAATCATGTGTCTTAATAGAATGATAGGATATGAAATGATGAAAGAATCCGACTGATCGAATAGTGATGGTTTCAAAAGGATACTGAAAACTGTCGCGACTTTTGATGTGAGAGACTTATTGGCACTTATGACTAACCGACATGTCTCCGTTTCCCAGGTTTCCCGCTGGCGCGGCATTTCATCAGGAGGCTTCGAAGTTCATATAGCGAAGCTAGTCTGGACTGCCAGAAAAGATTCGGTGAGTTACTGAGTGCTCGTGCTCAAATCGTAACGCTGTTGAATGTCGAAACCATTTTATCTGATGATTGAATGGTCTATGATCCATGTGATTGCATCATTTCGCCCCTATCTGAGTCACTGCAGGGCATCGGCGTGTGCTGTCAGGTGCTCGGCATCAGCTGACTGCTGTGTTATCTACTCCGCAGGTTCTTTTATCGAGAGGGGATGGATCGTTCCTGTGGATCTCAACCATTCTGGAAGCCGTCGGGCACCCGCTGCTTCAGTGCAACAGTTCAGCAAGGTATGTGATGGGCGTCTTCAGTGCAATATTGGTTGGTCACTGCATAAATTAACTCATTCAATGATGAAAACAAAACGTACTCAAACCTGAACCCTGTGACGATTTGGATTCACGCCTGAAACTTCAAATTACCTGCCACTGGGAAATTGTGCGTTGCTTATTCTGAACATCCGTTCCTTCCATTTTCAGGAATCGACGACGCCGGTCTTCGTGCAACCCATTGCCTAGGCTGCAGAGACTTCACGCATTGCAGCTGCTTGACGGCTTCTCCAGCTTAGAATGGTGAGAATTTGACTGCTTCAACTTGGTATCAGCCATGTCGGTGCACTTGATGGTTACCCGAAAGCACCTTCAGTTTTTATAGCTTTTACTTTTTGTGATGATCACATACCCCAACTGTATTACCGTGACAGCATCAAGCTCAACAGGTCTGACGAATTTACGAGCGGACGGGCGGGCTCTGCTAGAGAGACGTTCTTCCTAATGTCCGATTTATTTTGTTGCAGGATCAACCCGAGTTGGCGCCGGGCCGCGATGGAGGACCTGTTCTCCATCCACGCTTCCGACTGCGCAAGTACGTTAGTGACTTATTATGCGCGCCTTTTTTACGTCATTTTAAGATTTGATATTTGCTCGAGTGGAAGAAGTGTCATCTTTGCTAATAAAGGTTTTATTTTTCGAGAAAATAAATACAAGCTGTCGTCATCATTACGCCATGTGTGTGCAATAAATCGATGAAGAGCTGCGGATGTCATATTTATCGGGGGGCTGTCTGGTCAGAATTCGAGGCAGGGATGGACACAATGGAGCCACCACCGGGGGCGAGTCGCGAACGGTTAGTGAACTGTGCTACCGTTCTGGCCGCGCGGTGTGGTGACCGGGGCAGGCGGGGCTGTGCTCGCGACGTGAGCGGTTAGCGTACTGTGCTACCGTTCCGGCCGCACCTAGTGCTGTACTGGGGCTGTTCCGACTCACGGCTGGGTGAAATGCTTGCCCAGCAGTGATCTGTCGAGCCGATATCAGACACAGAATGAGAAGGTTTCCACCATGAAACTACGCGGCTAGAACGGAGGATGACGATGAACGAAGGAGTTTATCGAATGGTTAGTAGTTAGTTATGAACTGATTATTGTGTGAGATGTCCGCTTCCGCCGATGTAACAGGGGCTTTAGGTGAGCTGAGCTGTGTTCTTTCCGCTATCGCTAGTGCTAAAGCTCAATGCTCGAGCATTGCAACACGCTCACATTAGACGTCGATTGCATTTAGGTCCGCAATGATATGAAGCTGGTAACGGCTCAGACTAGCCTTGAGGTTTCAGGTCGACCAATGACTGAAGGGTCGATTAATTTTAAAATTGTTATTAGAATTCTCGGGATGCGGACTACTGTGCAGTGTTACCTTTGCCGAGATCTGCAGCGATGGAAAATTATCTTACCTAAAATTCTAAATAGTATAATTCAAGTAAGTCCGACACATTCTAGATCACAGAAATCATTTGGGCGCGGAGTCTGCAGAGAATAATAGAAATACGATTGGATGAAATTTATTCGAGCGGCGTCATTTCTTACTAATTCAGACACTATTATTTTTAACTCTTGCTCACTGGTTTCGCCCGGTCGCTGAAGTAAATGTCTAGTCCGGCACCAGACACCTGACATATTTTACCGAGGCTTTAGATGCTATAGATAATGCGCGGTAGCAAAATAATGACGAGGAACAGCAATACCATGAGTTCCGTGCCTCGGGCAACGAGATGAAGAGCACTGATGTTCATTGCAACCCAACGAGAACATACAATGGAATTACGTGTGGCAATGCTAGCAATGCATGAGACGGCGCTACCGTTTCAAAACCTCCACAATCTACGTGCCTAGCTTTTCTCAGCATCGGTTATGATCTCTTAGGGAAGCACTGAAGGCGCTGAACAAGGCGAACTCCAGTAAAATGTATAATTCATTATTTGGTGGAAATTGGCTGCATCAGTTATCACGTAGTGTACCTAACGATACCGTGTTGTAGATTACTTGAGTTGCGACTGCCTGCATAGTGGAAGGCAGTTACGAATTTTAATTTTATTTTCTTTTTCAGGACGCGAGATAACGTGTCAGCCTGGCGCTCGGCTCGCATGGGATTTTCTGGTACGTTTTGCTCATCTTCCGTTACGCCGTTGCATATAGCTGTTATTAGCTTGTGCGATTTAGAGCTCAATTCAGCACCTAATAGTTTGTAGGTGGATTAGGTTTATCACTTGCTAAATGGCGTGTAGTAACAATGCAATCCTTTGGTATTCGTGTATCTGGATAGTGCTATTACAAATGATGATACCACTCTTGATCAAACGGTTAGAATTAATCGGAACCTAGTGACGATCCTAGGGCGGACTGATGAAACATTTTCATCGCCCTACCAATGGTGTTTTTATTGGAAGTTGTCTACATATTCCTCCTTTTCTCGTTCAAGGTGGCAGTCGATTCCCTTCGTTCTCTGGAGGAAGGACGTCGAACGCTCGCCGGCTGATATCAAAACAGTAAGTGAGAGAGTTCGCCACATGTTATGGTGCGATGTCCGTGCTGCATATCCTGTCACTCCATTTTACTTTCGCAGACGTATGGAAACTGGCGACGGTCAGTGGTAGGCCGATATATGAGGCACCACTCACCACAGTTTTTTATGTAGGGGAGACCCGGGAGGTATGGGCCGGTTTTGTGAAAAGGCAATTTTCTTCCAGTGGGCAGTGGCTAGACCCGGTTTTTCAACTGTGTATATGAAATTGCCTTTCGCCTGCAACGCGTGCCTGATGTTAGGCATCTGGGATCAACTATTTTGTTTCCAGATAACTTTCCATAAATCATGTGCTTTTTCGATCCATCAAAATACACCGGGAGGTATGGGCCATGGCCCGGGAGGTATGGGCCGGTGCCATGTTTCATATTCTTTTCTCGACAATGAGAATAATACTCGTAGCTGGTATCTACCTTGATCTCTCTTGGAGCCCAGGAACCGTATAAGCGGCCAACAGCTTGCTTCATGGAGGTCACTTTGGCCCATATGCATTTTGGAAAACTCAATCATGCACCATGAAATAAGATCAATAATATTTTTCTGTTCGAATGAAATTTGAAGTTAAATTTTCGACCTTGCGCGACAAAAAAACTTGTTGACGGGGACATTCAATGAAAGCATCTTTTTTATTTATTTAGGATCAACGGGGTGGGTGGCCCGTACCTCCCGGTTAGGACGTCAGAATGTGCATAGCATCTCAGCTCATAATCTTGCAAGAAGGCTTCAAATTGTGTATCCAGTCTAAATTTGCATGCTTTAAACTTAATGTTAGCGATCGTTTGACATCATAAAACGAGCCTGGTTCAAATTTGTTCCGAATTTTCTGTATGTACCGTATTTTACTCGAAGAGGGCAAAAACGCTTTATCACCGCTCATTGCCAAAGAAGACTGAGGAAGATTATGGAAATCACGTGGGTTGTATAACAGAATGGCTGCTACCAGTTTACGCGGTCAAATGTGTAAAAATACGCAACACTTCTTCAAAACTGCGATGGCCCATACCTCCAGGGGGCCCATACCTCCCGGGTCTCCCCTATTCTTCATCAGTAATTAGCTGAATTCAGTAGCCATGACTGTTTTGCGGGCTGGTTTTTGCGCCGGTTGATCCACCATGATTGATCGTGCTTCGCGTCGGCCCAACATTAACCCCTTCGTCTGGTACCGTGACTTGTCGCATGACAGGTCACTCTCCAGGCAAGGGATACATTGTTACGTTGTGCAATTAATTTGGCTTTTTTGAAAACCTTCAATTATCTGACCTTAAGTTAAAAGTATGTTGATTTAAAGTTAATTCTTTTTTCAGATGTATCTGGGACATTTTATCTGATACGGATGACTCCAGAGAAGATCATCTTGAAACATCAGAGTGTACTCCTGGCATTCAACTTCTGGTGCATATGGGTGAGTCAACTACTGACGTCCGTGATCTTAGCTGAAAAGTGATATTAGATGATGATAAGATCAAGGACTCGTACAATTCGTGACGATTTGTTTACATGCACTACCAACTGAGGTGTTCATTCCTTATTGCTATTGATAACACATCCATGATTTATTACTTACGCTCTTTCTTTCCCACAGCGGGGGAGCGGCAAGTGAAGAAGTCAGATCGTTCCGCACGCGTCACAAATGCGACAATCATTGAGGTACGATGTGTGATCTGTTGCCACACAATTTACGTCTGGTTTAATGATGTTCATGCTTGCCGAGGTTTCTATGACGACCTAGCTCATCACCCACTTTTGTCTGATGTTCACATTATTCCAAATTTACTTTCGGAATAGTTGCTTTTTTTTAACCCATGAATTTGTTGCAGCTTCGGTGTGGATGATAGAATATGTAGGCGCTCATCTGGATTTCTCTCATTTACGATGGTAAGTGGTCGTTGATATCCTTCCCAAATAACCGTAGCGAGGAACAGAACTAATTACTCGCTCAACTTAGTTTTTGAATACGTGCCGATTGTCGTTTCAAATTACTTTGCATGGTAGTTTTTATGCCGTATAGAGTGATGATTCTTAGCGAACGGGCGGACATAGATGCCTTACAGCAGTGCTGAATGTTCCTCAACTGACCGTAGGCAGCGTTTATTTTGTATGCATAGAAAGGAAGCGGCGTATTACAAAAATAAACTCCACCCCACAGGCGGATGAGCAGCTGAGCATGGATTGGGGAGCACTTGGAACAGTGCAGCTTCCGCTACACGGACTAAGAACAAACTGGTAAGTTGAGTCTGTAGACGTCCTCGCCTTTCTGCATTGTTTGGCACACATGATGACACTGTGATCCATTTTCTGATCGCGCCTCCGGCGCCGGTGGCCGCCACGTGGGCCTCGCAGTGGCGGCGTGCCGGCAGCCGTGCCGTCCGCTCGGGTTCTCTGAGCGGACACGCCGGCCGGGGCCGCCGCCGCCACCGCGCCGAGCGGCGTCCGGATTATAGCCCAGCCGTCTGATAATCAAAATGTCGCGCTTTGCTGCTGCTACAGATACACGTGAAGTCGTGACTGAGGATGGTTGCTTGTTCTTTCAGATGCGCTCTCCAGACTTCCAGTTTGCTGTCTCGCCACGTTGAAGTCCTTATACTTGATGACAGAATGTTCGATCCGAGGGATGCGACTGCAGCTGCTTGCTTTAAGGTACCTAACCATTCATTTGGAAACCACTTTCGGTGCAAATCGTTTTTTGTGATGATCAGTATTTGCTATCTGAGTCAACTGATTACAGAATACTTACCACCAAGATCTCTGAATATGTTCAATGCTAACATGGTAGTAGCGTGATGTTCATGGCATCTGACGCACATCCCTACCTTTTCAGCTGTTTGGATCTATCGTCATGGCTGATACTTCCCAGACATGAGGTAAGGTTCCTGTAATACCTTTGAATCGAACTGATTCATTTATTGATGTTTACAATGCTTCTGATGATTGAATATTTTTATGAATTCATTGATCACATAATTTCGCCCCTATCTGAGATACAGTTTAACTTAACGAGCGAGTATCCTCTGGGTATTCTGCTCACGGCCCTCTCTTTTGCAGCAGAATAGAGTTGCGGTGAACCGTCCTTTTGAGACGGGCGTGACATCGAGACGCTTTGGACTTGCACTGTTTCGGTACGCTCCAAGATTGGTGGGGATCTAAGTTGGCTCTGCAGTCTGCGATGACAATGCTTATACATATTGCCGAACTTTTGTTTGTCTGCTTGGTTTGTTAACACCAGATTTACATCAGTAGTCATGTGTGATATGCGAGCGATTATGATGAAACTTCCCGTCTGCCTCCTGATGAAGGAATTTCCTCGTTTCTGATGTTGGTCTTCGAATTTTGAGTAATGGCTGATCTTGAAACGACTTTAAACACGTTTGCTTTGTTTCCTGTGTGCAGGGACTGGCAACGCGCTCTGCTGAATGATTTCGTGCAGAGATCAGCTGTGCTCACTGGTGACCAAAGAGTATCCTCGTGCCGTTGTTTACCGGTGAAGTTGAAGCGACATGCCAACTTCTGTGTGGATGGATCATTGATTGGAGAAGTCATTGGGATACTCACGCGGCTGTCAACCGTCAACGAAAGGTGGGTATTTTGGTTATTTGTCCGACAAATGTCCCAATATCGTAAGTGTATTTTTTTTTTAATTACTGAACTGGCACTGCTTATGATGAGACATCATGCACCACTCTGAGTTTCCTGACGAGTATTTTTATGTTCTGACTGCTCATTGTTCACGCTGCTGTAATTTAGGACAATCAGGCTGTTGTTTGTGACTAAATGTTTGTTTTCAGGGCTTTTTGAAAACTATATTGTATGGAGTGGCAAGCAGTAGCGCATTTGATTCAAGGTAAATATGACGTGATCTTTCATTTATCTAGTTAAATGGCTTATTTGGTCTTCTTTTTGCCTTTTGTTCGGTTGAGCACCAATTTAATTTAATCTCGCGCCGTTGCATTCCAGCAGATGCTAATTTCTTACCGCTGAATTGACGTGGCCATAAGACATGATGAGAACGAACTGAGCTGTGAGTGTTCGATGAAGCACTTTTACATGCACTACCAACTGAGGATTTATTTGAAACAGGACTGTTTTCGCTATCACTGCACGCTGTCTGATTGACTTTTGTGTTTCAGGTGGCCCTGCTTCACTCCGTAGTGATCATTTCCGTCAGGTAAGCGGGACGTGTTGATAATGGTTGAATTGCTGACTGTTGTTTAATCAGAATGATGAGTTACATGCACCACTCTGCGCTATCTGATGACGATTAATGTGGACTGAAGAAGAAACAGCCGTCATAATTGTTAACGAAGAACCTAGGATGCTAACGAGTGCTGTCTTTTTTTTCAGATTCTGCTGATCAAGGGCGAGCCACGACTGAGATGTGCATCTAGTCTGGCATTTCTTAACGTTATTTTTCATAAGGTGAGGGAAACCTAAGAACCGAGCACGTCATTTCCGTCGTTTTGAACTTGCTCGTTCTAGTGAAATATGCTAACAGTAAACAGGGTGCTGATAAGTTTCAAACATTTTGTGATCAATGGTATACATTAGTGGTGCTGGTGTTAATTCCGGGCTGTATTTAAGCATTCTGAGTCCTGACCACTGGGGCAGAGTGTCAAGCAGCAGTCCGACATCATATCTGGCTCCAATAGCGGCGTCTGATCACCTCTGTCAGGCGCGGCAGCAATGCACTGGTACAATCGATAAAATCGGGCTTGAAAATAGTTTGGGTTTGATACAAGCACTGAAGTTTTGGTCTAGTTTTGTTTTCTGCTTAGATTGACGACCTTTCCCCTCATTTCAGGTGTTTCTTACAGCTGACTTGAGGTACTGCTGGGCTATCACTGAGACACCGATGTGACTACGAACATCTACGCACAGCTAGGCTACACAACACATGGTAAGTCAGGCCCCGTGGAATAGACCCTGAATCTGCCTGGTACATGATGTCCATGCTTGCTGAGGTTTCTGTGACGACTTAGCTCATCACCCACTTTTGTCTGAAAACTGACTCATTTCATGTCCCCAGTCCATGCTGCTTTGACGGCGCTAACGCGGTCTTTATTTTGCAGCTTCCTCTTGAGCCGGTGGCTTCTTTCGACTGGCTTCTAAAGAACACCCGAGCGATGCGTTTGAGATCGGTGTACCATAATTGTAAAATGATTGGATGCCTGAGCCTCAATGATCGGCGCTTTTCGACTAATGAAGGTGAGTTGAGAATGGACTGCGTAGTGCGTAGAATTATTTTTTTCCGTTTGGGGCATTAATCGATACCGTTCTCTCGTGCGTCATCTCCCGCCATTCAAAGCGTTTCATGCAGGGCGCTGCCGATTGTTTTGGTCTGGCCTGTGGACCAGAATGTGTAGCAGCAGCCCGAGAGTATGTCTAGTACTAATAGCAGCGTCTGGTCAGCGTGCCAGATGCTGCCGCTATGCTCAGATACATTTGGTACGTTGGCTTCCATAATTCATGTAATGGACACTCTGCTGCTCAAATTATAATCGTATTCACAACTAAACCTCGTCCGTTGCAGGCAGGTGCGGACCGAAGAGTGGGTATCAGCTGACGGGGCTCACCGACAAGCTCGGTGTTCTGTGGTGGCTGATAAATGAATCAAGTCGCGAACACCATCCTGGGTAGGTGTCTCATGGGTCTTTTTGGCTGGATAAGTATATGTTCTTACGGCAGTGCCTTTGTGAATGATGTTCATGCTTGCTGAGGTATCTATGACGACCTAGCTCATCACCCACTTTTGTCTGATGACGTTACTGAGAGTGAGAAAAGGCACGGTTCTTATCATATTTTTAACCAGGATGTTCTTACTCTTTCAGGAACGCTGGTTCTCGGGTCAAATGCAAGATTCGGGCAGTATAAACCAGACCAAATAACAACCGTGTGAAGTCGCACGCAAGGGGACAGCCTGCTAAACCAGTGTGTGCAGGTTAGTGACAACGGAGAGTGCACTGCAGTGTCGTTATGTTTGGGCTGTTATAAAGCGCACAGCATTCCTCCCATTGGATTGTCGTGCTTCGCGTCGGCCCGACAGTATTTCACACCGTCGATATTTCGGACTGTCCGATGGCAAGCCGATTTCAAAGTGGGGACAGATATTGTGAACATGTATCGGCAGATGGCATATGATGCCTGAGTAACTCGACGATTTTTATGTGGCTCGCCGTGGAGAATCGCATTTGTCAAAGCCTTTTCCTGGGCTAATTGTGCTCAATGTTTAAATTGAAGAAGTTGTGACAGTTGTTAAAATACGAACGGCCGGTAGCACTTGCTACTGACAAGCACTTCCTCGGTTTCGCTGGGCCTGATGATTTTATCTCAATATAGACTTTCATTCAAATGATGTTCTTTTTTCAGGTTTCGGGGACCTGTTGTGTAACAAGATCCATCCATCTCTGATGTTTGGTAAGAAACATTTCTACCTGTTCGTGTCGCTGATTGTTCGTTTGTATATTATGATGTTTGATACTTTCGTTCTTCCTATTGCTAGTGCTGGAAAAATTAATCCTCTGATTCGGCTTTTGCCGGCCGGCGATCGGCGTGCTTCCCCCGGTGTGCTCAATTTATGTAAACTGTTCCAGGTTCGGGCTAGCTATGGATGGACCCATCGCAGCTGTGGAAGTCGTAGCACGCTGAACTGATGCGACGGATATTGCTGATTCAATATCAGCATTTGCTGGCTGCACTGGTAACTGCGGAAATACCAGCGGTAAGCAAACTATCTGAAATTTTCTCGTGTGATGCCTTTTATGGTGAGATTGTGATGAGTTTTGTCTACTGTTCGCGCTCTGACAGTGTGTGGAGACATTTGTAGCCCTGATCGGTATGTTCCATTGCACATCTCATCAACGTAACTGGTTTTTAAATATTCCAATTCCCTTACAGGTATACAAATTTGGTGGGAACGCAGCTCCGAAGGCCAGCTTCGATAGTACTCAGTGCGGAGGCTGCGGACGTGCAACATAGTCATTAGTCATGTAAGTTCCAGTCGAGCACAACTTCAGCTGACGTTCATATCATATTTTACGACTGCGTTTTCATGATGCACACTCGATGGTATTGGCTGACAAATCCTGTTGATTCGCCGATAATGCTGCCTTCCTTCTGAAGTTTGTCCTAGGGCAGTAGCCGTTCTTGCTGTGACGCCCACGGTCTAAAACGTTAACTTTTGTTGGCAGATGAAAGTCGGATCCTGCTGTCGTTCGTGCCGATGTTACGGCCGAACAACGCTGGGCCAATCCATGGTGCGTGAGTAATGGGTTGTTTTGTTTTGCCTTATCGATGTTAAATTTATCGCACTTGAGGCTCGTGTTCTGTAGATTACGGGATGACAGAGCTCTTGGCTCTGATTATCAGTCTCAAAGTGCTTAGCTCTGAGACTCGTGATTAGTTGTTTTCTCTTTTCAAAATAATTGCAATATCTTACAACTTCAAAGTGATGTAGAATCAATGGTGTTGGCTGAAAACTCTTGTTGATTCGCCGATAATGCTGCCTTCCTTCTGATGTTAATCTTTTTGACAAGAGCCTTACTTTGTCAGTATGGTTCGGCTGAAGTTATTTTATCTATTTACAGGTGCGAACAAACCGATAAGCAGCATGCGGCATTCTGATCCGCGATAAGGCGGCCCTTCACTCTCCAGTGTCCACCGCCAGCGGAACATGTTCGGTAAGCATTTTGGTCCGAATGTTTTCTGTGTCTTTTAATTACTATGATGAGAACGTCCTGCAATTTTGACGCATTGCTCTGGAGATAAAACGACGCGGCTGATCGCTCATTTACTGTCGTATTTCCCAGTACAAGTCGCTGCCACCCAGCTGATTACCCCGATCTGTTTCCACAGTCTGGCGTCATATTGCCGTAGTTATCATAGGAGGAGCCGTTAATGCCGACTGGTAAGTATCACGACCCTTCCTTCTTTTGTCGGGAAAATATCTGTTCACATGATGATACCACTCTTGATCAAACGGTTAGAAAATATCGGAACCTAGTGACGATCCTAGGGCGGACTGAGCTATCGTACAATTCAATCTTGTTATGTTGAATGTGCAATTTTTCTTACGCTTTCATTGTTTCGTTTTCAGACTGGTCAGCATTCATCAGTGGTGAACGGTTGGACGTCAACGAGCGTTCAGTAGCAACCTGACTTGAGGTAATAAATACTGCTATATTGAACTTGAAGTCGATATCTACATTTTTACTGATGAGCCTTCCCAACTGCTCACTGATGATTCAATGAACATTCCTCGTTTCTGAACATATAAAATATTTACTTATACATCCTATATGGACCCTTCAGCCGTGTCTGACATATACTTTCGTCTTTCAGGCTGCCAACGGAGTGAATCTCTGTGTAGAATAAATGAGCAGTGCCGAATATTCGTGTGGAGCAAGGTATATCGGTAACTTGGCAAATAGCACTGCTTAGCGGCGCACCCGGGCCCATAACTACTCATTCATCCATTCGGATGCAATTAAAAAAAAAAACGTCCACTCTCACTGAAGCTGCCAGGGAGCTACTTGCCACTCGTCCGGCGCCGCAGGTCGTCAGAAGCTACAGGCGTCGCCGCGGCTGCCGAGTTTTATAAAGGTAAATATAGCATGCGCCCGGCTTTCTTGGGTTGGGTGACTTATGATACATTCATTCGTTTTTTCATGATGAATATTCCCATCTGCTCCCTGATGAGTTTGATTATTCCTCGTTTCTGACGATTATACTGTTCACAAGTGCAGCCGCCCTGTAATTGCTATGCCTCACGGCCCGATTTTCCTCGACAGGGCGGTGAGCAGATGTCGGACCATGCCCCGGACTTCGACAGGTCGACTCAGCTGGGTGCAATGCCGAAGATATTGTGCTTCCGCCAATGAAATATTGATTCATGTGAAGTAAGTGATGAAACATTTTTACGCGAAGTGGAAGTAGTTAGGGAGGGACAGTACCGATATGATAAAGTTCCTCCCGATGAATGCGCGTAAGAGCGCCGCGCTTTTGAACATAAGCATCTGCGGCTGTTGGCCATTTTTATGTGACTTCGTTCATGATGAATATTCCCATCTGCCCTCTGATGAGTTCTATCATTCCTCGTTTCTGACGACTTACTGTCAGCTATCGTATAACCCTGTCGAACCACATATGCCTCACAATCTGATTTCTTTCTGACAGGGTCATGGCTGATGATGTGCCGGGCCCGTGAAGCGCAGTTCGCTCGGCTCAGTGGAATCCAGCTCTGCCGTTTTTCGACTGGACTTTATCGCTTAAAGGTTAGTATAAAGTATTTCAATGGGTCTAAAGTAAACTGCACTTCATGAAATGGTCCACTGTCGACACTGCGTAACATCTGCCAATGATGAGACATCATGCACCACTCTTAGAATCTAATGCCGAGCTTTTTATGATCTGAGGATTCGAGCGCAATATGCAATGTGTTGTTGGTTTTGCTAGTCCTTGATACGATGTGTGTTCTTTCCTCAGGTGTGCTGAGAGACTCGTTCAAAAGATGTTTGCGGCCTGGCCAGGTAAAAGTCCTTGCAACATTTGCGTGTTGTTTTTGCACAACATGTCATTGCTTTTCGAGACGTCTTCTCTTCCAAATGGCTGAGATGGTTCAATGTTTTGTTATATTTGAGTTGCTTGTCGAATTGCACTTTGAGTGGCATGATGTGGATCGCTGGAGACATTCTGTAACCAGTACCATTGGTGCAGGATGCATTGAAGCGGTCCTACATTATACCTGACTCACTAGCTGCATTTGATCAGTAGCTTTCAAATGCAGAACATCAACCAGGTACACGACTCTTAGTGTTAAGATATCGTGGATCAAACAATATTTTAGCTGCACCATGACAGGTCTTAATTGTTGAAAGCTCGAATGATTTTTTTTTCAGATTGATAAATCTTATCATGAGCGTGGAAGTCCCCGCGTTCTGAGGGAGCCCTTTAGCTCGCCATACTGAGGTCCGGATAAGGCATTGCTCGGAGAGCCGCCCTGAGGATCACCGGCTGAATTGACCAGGACAATATTGTGAGGTGAGAGGCGTGACTGGCTGGTACTGATTGATGGCTGTTGTGAACGTTAGCTGATTATTTTGTTTGTTTGCTCTCGAGATCTCTTCGCGGGCTGTATTTAAGCATTCTGAGTCCTGACCATTGGGGCAGAGTGTCAAGCAGCAGTCCAACATCATATCTGGCTCCAATAGCGGTGTCTGATCATCTCTGTCAGGCGCGGCAGCAATGCACTGGTACACTTGATAAAATACTTGGATGGACCCTACCATCTTATTGTTACATTTCGCCCTGCGTAGTGTCATGACATGAGAAACAGTTGGGGCATTCCACGATAGATCGTACCACTTTTTTCCAATTTGACACCCTCATCTCTCGGATTTTAACGATAATTGGTCTAAGGGGTAATCAGGGGCTCTGAATCCTCCTGTAACAATTTCAGGCTTACCAGATGAGTGGTTTTTGAGTTATAGTGTATAACATGTTTTGGATCTTGCGTTGCAGCCCTAAGTTTGGCGGGCTGTAACTCTAAGACGGATAATCCAAATGCCAAATGCTATACGGCATTGAACTTGCATTGAAACAAAGAATAATATGCATTTTTAATATTTTGAAATATATACTATTTTTGATATATAACACCTCGAGTTTCCTTTCATTTGCATTTTTATGTCTTTGGGACCAAATTTTTTTGAATTTTTATTTGCTTAAAAACATTTTTGGATCATTTTTAAGTAGTATGCAAAAAATTAGGAAGGTGTTCTTTCTATAAATGTACTTATTTTGCGTCACCGTAATGGTCTCGAATTGTAATTTCGGAAGAGAGCCTACAAATGGTGTGGTAAAGCTGCCTAGTGACATCACTGGCTACTGGAAGTTCAATTGAAGTCATTTTTGCCTCACTTTTGCATTGTTGCGTCACTTTTGCGTGACGTCATTCGTACGTCACTAGGGTCATAAGAGTTTTTCGTCAATAACTCTCGATCAATTTGAGCTAGAGAGACGGGAAAGCTACCAATGGATTCGGGAAGACCTTGCGAATCGAATGATGTGCAATATCATCTCATTCACCCAGCTTCGTGGCCTGACCTGACTGTTAACCATCTCTGTAGCGGCGCTGTTTGTCCAGCGCCGCGCTGCTGGTTGGCTTTGCCGCGGACTCGGGACGGTCACGTGATGCCCGAGGGCTGGCTGCCGGCTGGGCCGCCTGGTCGGAGCGCGGAGCCAAATACACGGCAGTGTGCTGACCCGAGGTCAGCGACTTAAGCTGACTTCACCAGAACAAACAGTATACCATTCGACGCGCCGGAGCTAGGCAAACACAAAAATGCTAAAATCGCGGCTCTGTGACCATTTGTTGCGAAGTTATCTATCAAAAACCGGACCCGTAACTTGGGTCACTTGAAATGACCTCAGGGGTCACCAGTGAACACGAGACCTTAAAATGTGGTATCATTCGATGCATCTTGTGACGGCGCACACGCTCGTTTTTTCCGCAAGGTTCTAGCTCCATTAGAGGCGAAACGGCGAGCTGGGGTCGTACCGACCCCCCGGAAACCCATTTTGTATACATTTAAATGAGGAACTTATAGAAAGAACACCTTTCTAATTTTTTGTATGTCGATTTTAAAGGACCTGAGGTTTATTTTGAAGAAATAAAAATGGCAAAAATTTTGGTCCCAAGGGCCATTATAGACAATTCAAAAAAATACTACGACTTTTTTCAATATGTAAAGCTTTTCTTTCCAATTTTAAAAATACTGTATTAATCTTTGATTCATCGTTAGTTCAAAGCTGTTTACCGTTTGTTGCTTGCTTAGCTCGTTTTTGAGTTATAGCTCATCAAACTCACCCTTACAATCTGAAGTTTAGAAAATATTATGCAATGTAACTCAAAAAGTTTTCATCTGAGAAGTCTGATATTTTGGCAAGTGTTTTTGGAGCCTATGATTACCCCTTGTACCAATTTTCATTCAAATCTGAGAGATGAGGGTGACGGGCCTGGTACGATCTATCGTGGAATGCCCCAGTTGTCCTAAATATGGACTGTTTCTTTTTGTGTGCGTTCTGAGCGCGGTTCATGTTCAAAGTGCCAGCAACAGTCCGATATTATATCTTGCTTAATAGCTGTGTTTGACGGTATTTTGCCAAACACAGAACTCAGCCTTGAAACATGTCGATGTCGGCCAATCTAGCTCATAATAGGCATTTGTGTTTTGTGTAAGCAACGACTCACATATTCAGTGCTTGCTGTTTCAGGTGTTTCCACCAAGTGATGCTTCATTTTCTAACCGAAAGCGGTCACGGCCGGGGATCAACGTCCCGCGCATTTGAAAGGTACGTCTTACGTCGTATGCTATTTTGGTAGTCCGAAATAGTTTTGGGTTTTCCTTTGGTGAATGATGAGAATCACAAATTGCCGGAATGTAAGTGACGATTTCTTTACATGCACTACCAACTGAGAGGTCGCCCGGTCGACGCGTGTCGGCTGCCGCAAGGCCACTCCTGACATGCTGTCTGTTTGCAGGTTCAATGCTGCTGATGGAATTGTGTCGAATCTTGGACCCTCGACCAATGCCCGAGGTGAGAATATAAATTAGTTTGAAGTCCTTCTGCATTATAGCACTAACTAGGATGTTCATGCTTGCTGAGGTTTCTGTGACGACCTATAGCTCATCACCCACTTTTGTCTGATGTTCATATCATTTTGGTTTAAGTGGCATATCAATGACCTGTAATGATCAGAACGTTTTTTCTTCTTCAGAGGTCAAAGAAAAAATGGGAACGGTTGACCAATGAGATCATCGGTCAAGATTACGCCGCTGCTCAATGCGACCGGCTAAGTGAGCGGCAGGAGCAGCTGTTTCGGACCCTGTAAGTCAGTTGTGCTAAAAGGGCGTTTCCTTGCAGTCTTGTACTGCAGATTCATCTTGGGCTGGTTTTTGCGCCGATAAATTATGTTGATTTTTCGAGCTTCGCGTCGGCCCGACAGTGACTCCCGTGCTTCGTACCGCTGCGTGGCTCAGTTGGGCTCGTGGCTGTCGAAGCTGGGAAACATTGGATTAACCCGCTGTTGCTACGTTTAAGTCTCGTATTCCGTCTTACTTGTAATATTATTAAGCTGCTTTAAATAGTTCATATCAAATTTGACTGCGAACTTGAATTGCTATAACTGGTCGAGCATATGGCCCTGTTAGAATACTTTTATTCTGTCTGTCTTCAGATAGCCAACTGCTGATTATGTCGCCGAATGGAATATGGCCGGGCATTGCTCTCGCAGTTGCATTGTCAAGGTGAGTTTCCCATCTGTTATTTCACTAGCCATCGAACAGTAGCTTGCTGATGAAACAATTACCTGCCATTTTGACAGTATACCGTGGAGACATTTATCGTTGCTGATGTTTATTTCTTTTCCATTTTTTGTCGTGTTTGATGTGGTGCACTCATGTTGATTCCCCGTTTTCAGCTCCAATCTGGATGGCACTACACATCTGCATCTCGTAACACATCTTTGCTGGTTGCGGAAGGTAAGTAGTGCATGGACGTGACTTGGGGTTTTTACGAGGGTTCCTTTGCTCTGATGATACCACTCTTGATCAAACGGTTAGAAAATATCTGAACCTAGTGACGATCCTAGGGCGGACTGAGAACGATTGGTTGGCCAATTGTTTCGCGTTCTCCCTACGTCTTGCTCTAACTTTTCCATTTTCCTTTACAGTCGCTGATGGGGCTAAAAAGGACTGCGGAAGTCTCCCGATACGGCTCACATTTTGCGGTAAGCACTGAAGTCATGGAAGATTTTTCTTACATTCGACATCAACTGTGTTTTAGCGTGATGTTCGTACATGTTAGACTGTTGACTTCTTGGATGACACTAAATCTGCAGCTGATCTTGTGCTGTATAGAGCTGATTTGTGCGCCCTGTGGAATGTGGTTTCTGATGGCACGCTTCATTGCAGAGGACGTGCTCTCGAGAAGATGTGTGTGGTCTCCGCAGCATGACTCAAAAACATCAGCTGCACTGCAGACCTGGAGGTGAGTAGCTGAAACGTTCGGTAAAGGGCTAAGCTGTTGCGGATGCTGGCTCTCGTTGGCTGTTCAGGTTCACTCCAGCTTTGTTCGTTGGGCATTACATAAATTTGTTACAGTCAGCAATGATGAAAAAACTTAACGTGATCAGAGATGATCTATCAAATCAAAAGGATACTGATAAAATGTGCTGTTAAATACGACGTATTGCTTCTTCAAGTTAAGTGTTAACCTCTCTCGTCCTCTTTCAGCCACAGCAAAACAATTTATCGATGCCGAGCGAAACGTGTCATTCGGGGCAAGTGTGGAACTCGTCCAACTCACGAGATACTTGCGGATTATACGACCTGAACATCGGTTTAGGTGCGTTTGCAGTTTGTAATTTTTTGTTCAATTGTTAAAAAGCTCATTACCTAAATGATGTCTTTCCAGTCGATCCTTCACTAGCCTGCATCTCGCTGGCGCTGAATGATACTTCTTTGTACTCTCTGATGTAAAGCAAGAATTAGTTTTGTTTCTCAATGGTGTTGAATGTTTGGCTGACTCTTTTCGTCCATCTGATCCACAGGTGTTGGTGACGCGATTTGCCGACAACCAATCCTGTGAACCAAGTCCTAATTGGAGCTCTCCGTCCTGTTGCGGGGCTATAGCCTCGGTGTGTGGCGAGCCGCCTGTGCGCTGTCGGATAACAGGCACGTCGTCGACACGACTGGAGTGCTGGAGGCCACGCCCGTCGAAATGTAACGCTCCACTGAGCCCAGGACCCGCGGGCGTGGCCAGTCGGCTACGGTGTCTCGCACTGACCATCGCGCTTCAGTTTCCATCGACCAGAAACGGCTACATACACGGCATAATGCGAAGGTTAGTATTCCTTTTTTGTATTAACTGGCTGGCTAATTTCACTGTTAATTGAGCTTGATGAATTATGTTCTTTTTCGACACCGATATTGGGGACCTCAAGACGGGACTGACCCGTCCCTACCAACCTACGTGGTTGGTGGGTCTTCGCGGTACTGACTCCTCTTGTTGTCCACAGGGTTACGGTGAGACGAGCTGATGGCAACCAAAAGCTCCTACCGATTGCGGCGCATATCTTCACTAGGTGGGTATAGTGTGGGCTTATTCGTATATTCTCTGATGACATGATGACACTGTGATCCATTTTCTGAGCGCGCTGCCGGCGCCGGTGGCCGCCACGTGGGCCTCGCAGTGGCGGCGTGCCGACAGCCGTGCCGTCCGCTCGGGTTCTCTGAGCGGACACACCGGCCCGGGCCGCCGCCGCCACCGCGCCGAGCGGCGTCCGGATTATAGCCCAGCCGTCTGACAACTGTTTAAATCAGATTTAATGTCTCCGTGCGATGTGTTCGGTGTTGTAACTCGTACCCGTTTTGTTCCGCAGACTTGTATCGTGAGACTCGTCTGACGCACTACCATCTGGATTGAAATTCTTCCCAGCCAGCAGGTTAGTAAGATGCGCTGTCATTTCTCTAATTAATAGTAACGTCACCCGTGCTGCTCCATATTACTGCTTTCAGTTAATTTCTGTGATATTCACCTTACTCTGATAATTTAATCGATCCATCATTGACTATGATGATCACATACCCCATCTGTACAACCGTGACAGTATTCAAGCTCAACAGGTCTGACGTTTAGAGGGCCATCCCTTACCGTAAAGTGATGGTGTGCAGATAGCTGAACTGGCGTTTTTATCCGACAGGGCTCCTATGGGGAACTTCTGCTGGAGCAGTGAGCACCAGCCAGCGCTCCGTGACCTAGCTAATTGAACGTTCAGAAAGATCTTCGATCTGTTCCTGGCGTCGGCGTGAAGTCCGATCGCTTTCTTTAATCGGTTAAATAGTTATTCATGGTAAGTATATGTAAAGTTTATGTATATGTAAAGTAAAGTATATGTAAATATGTTAAGTTCAATAAATCGGAAATATTACATTATAACACATTTCTCATTATCAGGACTTACTGAATGAAAATGCAGTTGTTTACAGTAAACTGAATGAAAATGCAGTTGTTTACAGTAAAAATGAGTTTTATTTAATCTTTCGTTGGATGAGCTGCAATTGTTATGCGGCTCATTTTCTCGGCTCAGGCTTTCGCGCAAAGTGAACAATGAACATGCTTTGTGGTGTGGTCTGCCAATAAATGCTGATACCTTACTCGGGTGTTTTGTATCGAGAGGAGTATGAAATACACGATACACTGGTGATTTTTGGATGGTAGATTACTTCCCTTCGTAGAACGCGGCCGAGCGGCAGTGGACACTAACACTGATGTAAACGACACCGTCCAGCTAATGGCGAAGTGATCTTATCTCCGCCACTTGGCACATCACCCGCGCACGTTACACTGGGAGACCCCAATGCTCTTTATTACCATGCGTTGTTCCCTCACTCCCGCCTGTTCCGGGCGAAGAGCAGCAGAGTGGGAAAGATGCATATCGATATCACAATTATTCCCAGCAGGTTATAACCCTAGCATTGAGGGCGAACATTGACAAAAGCGTTCAATGAAATTGAACAATTGTACTAGGCGTCATCTGCGGAATATCTAGTTGCGTGCGAACGAAAATAATATGTAGTCTATGGAAAATAACATTTGTGTATCCGTGCCACACTTGTGTACCTTTCCCTGCTGCCGCCAATAGACTTGAACGATCAGAATGGGCTACCGGAAGAGCAGATAATGGGGAATTTTTTTGCCGTATTTTCGGTTTTCACGACGGCCATCTGGTACACATTTGGTGCAGATAAGTGCATATTTGGTCATTAGGTTCAGTGGATTTCTTAAAAGCTATTAGTTTAGGCTGCACGGACGCTTAGATGCCTCATTTTCAAATTTTCTGGCATTATTTTTAATTAAAACAAACATGATACGAAAATATTTATTGTAAAAGTGATATGGTGCAGATTTGGTCAAATAAGTGCATTCGCCAGATAGCCCGTCGTGAAGACGGGCTATAATTCGGCTCTCAGGAATTAATCGCTGGTGAAATGCAGAAACGGCATCACAGCAACTGACCTCGATTTTGGAAGCTGGATCGAAGGTTCTCAGCGTTTCGGTTGAAACTAAACAGCACGAGCTAGGACGACGTCAAAAAGGTAGAGCTAATAAAAATAGGGTCACACCATGGCAAGGCAGATAATGCTGCTGATCAGCCATTCTTTCATCCTTGGGTGAACGACAGGCGTGTGGTCTCTTTAGTGGCGTGTGGCAGCGAACCACGTTAATTGTCCGCTCGTAATGCATTGCGCATACGGATGTTGACTTAGTCACTGAGGGCTACCACAAACGATCATCGAGAGACTTAACCCGCGCCCCACTGGGGGGGGGGCTATTTATAGCCCCCCCCCCCCTCCCGTTTTTCTGCAATAACTTCCAAACCGCTTTACGAATCGACGCCAGACTTTCAGTACCTTCGGCTGCATCAATTTGACACCTTGTGTCAAAATTTGAACTTCGTAGCTACTATAGGTCGGCCGGAAATGACGTCAGAGTGACGTCATGTTCGTCCGATTTCGACGCAAAACATTGAAACACGGCAATCGCTCCCAAGAGCTCAGTTTTTAAGCTAGATCCAATTTCTTTGCATGAAAGAACTCAGAATTGACCGCGCTATCAAACTGCTATCTCGGATTTTCAAAATTTTGAAAATTTCGAAAATTTTATAAAATGATATTCAAAATTTATATTTTTATATTTTTTTCAAAAAGTTTTTGACTTTTCGAAAAAACCGGAATATATGTGACAGAACGCATGGTTATGACTAACTGTAGCAAGTTTTAGCTAAATATCTTCAAAAATGGCCAAGTTATACGCATTATTGCAAAAAATTCACAATTATTAATTTTTCAAATCAATTTATCAGTACGTATTTGGCATCGTACACCAATATAAATGGCACCATCGTGTTCCTGAGCTCAAACTGCATCCAATAGACACCTTTTTTGTTGAAAAATTTCAACTTCAAAATTTGACCTTTTTTGACCTGAAAGTGACCTGACCTAAGCTAATTTCGACTCAAAATGACCTTGAATGACACAGACGACATCAAATTCGAAATCTATGGCCTAAATGGACCATAAAACATGTGTCACGTGACCGACGCATGATATAATATTTTCGTGACCTGTGATGACCTGACCCTGACCTGAAAATCAAAGTACAAGTTTGGTACCCTCAAGGTATCTAGAGCATCTGTTCACAAGTGTGGAAACCAAAAATGAGCCTGATCTGACTTGTAAGACGGCGGCCAGCGCCCAAAATGTGAACAAGCCAAAGTGCTAATAATTTTTACTTTGACCTGACCTGTGACGTCATCGGTGACCTCGAGGTCAATGAAATTAGGTTTCGCTCGACAGTTTTTCCGGGGCTATCAGACGCCGTTTGAATTTTGACGATCGGCCCAGTAGTTTCGGAGTTAGGAGGGGGGGGGGGCTATGAATAGCCCCCCCCCCCCCAGTAGGGCGTGTTATACACAGACCCCAGTGGGGCGCGGGTTAATAAGTCAAACTGCAAGATTTCAAAAGTAGCTAAAGTTCCTACACCCGCCCGCCCAGTCATATCCACGACCACGTCAATTGTAGCCGGGTCTCAATTCCGAGGCACAAACAACGCCAAACAGCTTGTGCTATATTTCATCGCATCACATCCTTAACGAAACATCTGAGTACAGTCATGGTTACCACAGGAACACATTGACGCGAGTCGAAGATATCGTCCTCGTGCGCTCGCGCGCGCGCGCCGGCGCACGTGGCTAAAATAAAGGCTTTGGTTTGTGGCGCTGGATGAGCGGCTCGGCTCGCAGTTCGATGTCCGGTCTCCCGTCCCGCGCGGCCCCTCGTAACACAGACAGGTGGAGAGCGCAAAATTAACAAACACTACCGAGCTGAACACTGCCGACGCTACATGATAGTCGTGTTGTGAAAACAGGACATTTTCAGAAAATACACACCGTTTGCTAGACATCGGTAAAATTGTCTGTACCTGCTGTCGTTTAAAACAGAACGTGGAATTTCTAGCCTACCGGACGCCGCCGCGCGTTCCCACCTCCTTTGGAGCTACTGAGAAGTGTGTTGCGAGGGGCCGGGGCTGGGCGCGGAGCCCGTGAGCCCCGTCTGACCGGCGCTCACAGTCCGCACATAGTTGACGTAGTGATGGAAGAGATCGCTGAAATCGCCCCATTGCCGCACCACGAACACAATGATCACAATCAGCAGCACCGTCGACAGCGTCCGCACCCTGTGAGCGGACAGCAGAGGGACAGTCAGTGGGCGCGGCGAGATGGGAGGCAGACATGTTTTTTCCTGGCAATCTCTGATCTTTCAATAAACGTGACTGTATCCTGACGACTCCGGGCCACCGTGAAGAAGACGGTGGTGGCGACGGTGGCCAGCAGGAGATCGTGAACTGATGACTCACTAGAACGGAGAGAATACTAAGCAGAACTTAAAACAAATCCCTGTTTTCGCCCAACTCCTACCTCATTCAGCTCAAGACTGAGATCAAGATAGATATAATTTTGCCGTCCGACTTCACCTGTCATGGGTGCAGGTCCATTGTTGATTACTTAATAAATAAATAAATAAACAAATCACCCCCCCCCCCCTCCACAGACACAAACGTTATACTCCACACGTCGTCTCACCTGGTGCGCAGGAAGGGCATGGTGATGTTGGCCAGCGTGGCCACGATGAGCAGCACCACCTGCAGCACCGTCAGCACGATGTTGACCAGCTTGACGACCAGCGCGCGCGCCTGCGAGTTGCCGATCACCTCGATGTTGACTAGCTGCTGGTGCTCCACCTGCTGGTGCTCCATACGGGAGATCTGCCGAGAGGAGAGATTGGCAGTTAGAGGAGCGACGGGGCCTGTCGATGTCGATGCTGATCGCCGATGTGTAGCTATGGTGCAATGTTATGCAATACAGACCATCATACAGACGTCATCTCGCTTGAATTCCACTGCATTTATGGCAATTAAGTGAATTCCACCTGTACAACACCTGACGGCACGGAGATATTGCATTATATGGCAAGCCACCGGCCGGCTATGGCTGTGGCGTATCTGATCAGCGCTGAAATGTCAACGGTACACAAACTAACACCCACATTCACTCCTTCCTCACAGGCAAAGATCTGCCTCCTCCCCGCTGTGTGGTAAAGCCGTGTCACTCACCCGAGTATTACACTTGTCCATCATTTCGTGAATGTCTCTGACGCGTTCCTCGCTCTGGTACTGCACCTTCTCCTCCATGTCATGCATGTGCTGCCGCAGGTTCTCCACCTGAAGCGGCGCGAAACGGGACGGTCACGGTGGCTGCCACGGGGGTCATGTCACCGAGGGACGCGCTAAAACATGCCCTGGCATGAAAGATCCTTGACCACTCTTCGTAGCGGTCACGCAACATTGAAACATGTGTAAGCTCGGCAACGTATTATCCCTTGGTATGACATGGTAATATTTCGCACGCTATTTTAAAGGGACTATCCCACCTTCAAAAAAGTACCATTTAGGATTCGGAAATGTTACTCATGATATTGTGACGAATTCTGCAAGTTTTTACGCGTTTTCATTGTATACTTTTTGAGATATTGCGACTTTTATATTTCATCGTGACGTCATTTAGATCGGATCTGTGACGTAATGAAGGATTTACTTCATGTCAATGTGGGGGAGATTTGGCAGCAAATATAGGTATTTGCTCTCAAATATGACGCGGCTCATACAATAACAAGTGTCTCTGATTAGCTTATTCGTAAATCAAGTGAAACTTCACATGCTGGCGTTCAAAATGCAAATGACGTCATCAAATGGCCGTTAATAGTTAAGAGATAGGGCCTTAGCTAACGCCCACTTTTCAAATGAAGGGAACGAATTTCTTTAACACCACGAAACTGAGGATATTGCGACCAGGATATATGTATAGTGGTTTCTGAACCTGGCCGCCAACTTGGCTATCTCAACTCAGAACTAATGCAAAGGTGGGACAGTCCCTTTAAAGGGACTATCCCACCTTTACCATGGGGTTTGAGTTGAGATAGCCAAGTTTGCGGCGAGGTTCAGAAACCACTATCTATCTAGGTTGCAACCCCCGCGGCCTCTTGGTGTTGAAGAAATTCGTTCCCTTCATTTGAAAATGGGCCTTGTACAAGGCCCTATCTTCAACATGGAGCGACCGTTAGTGTGACGTCACCTCGTTTAGTCATTCTGATTTAAGTGGGTTTGTTCGTTGAAAAATCGCTTAAAACTTGGTCTGAACTTTGTTGTGGTGCCTACAGAGTAAAAAGAATCAGCTTTATGACAGTAATGTGGCCTGGGGAAGGAGGTAATTTTGGGCTGTGACGTCACATATTTGAAAGTTTGTGTTTGGAATATGGGAAGCCTAAGATGTTTAATGAAAAATAAATGCCAGAACCGTGTTCCTGGTCATCCAATCTATAAAGTCGGGCACAATTTAACTGGTTTTAACAACATTTTAGAAGGTGGGATAGTCCCTTTAACTGAGCGCATTGATGACTTTCAAATCGTCAGTCAGACACAGGCCCATCGCCGACCAGGCACCCACCTCGTTCTGATGGAGCTCGATGAAGTCATTCATCTGCTGCTCGAGCCGGTCGTAGCGGAACCTCTCCTCCTGCAGGGCCTGTGAGAGCAGCGTGATCTCCTGCTGCAGGGTGGCCTTGATGGTATCCACGTCCTCGCGCAGCCTGTCGCACTCCTCCTTCCGCTCCCAGAGCTCGGAGATGAGTCCGGCGCCGTCCGGGGGCCCGCCGCCGCCGCCGCCGCCCCCGCCGGCTGACGAGACGCTGGCCTGGTGGCGCGGGGAGGCGGCGCCGCCCAGCGCGCCGGCGTCGCTGGCCGCGCTGCTGATATCGCTACCCTCCTCGGACCGTAGCTGACCTGGGATGGGAGACGCGAGCAGTCGGTACGGGTGTGTGTGTGTGGGGGGGGGGGAGAGGGACTGCCCTCTGAGGGGAAGTCCCTGTCTCCCTGGGAGGGAGACGCGAGCAGTCGGTACGGGGGATGGACAGGGGCTGACATCATCTGACCGCAGCTGGCTTGGGAGGATAGAGAAAAGCACGCAACGTCGGTATGGGTAGACGGAAGACGGGTAGGAGTGCGAGAAAGGGCGAGATTCTTCGGAAAAGTGAGATGTTCTCTGAACAAATCACGGTAATATACCGGTCTTTATTTTCGTCCACCTATACAAAATAAGTACGGACAAAAAAAAAAAACTACTTTATGGTAAGGACTAAACTGAATGCGTATTTGAAGACGCATCGATGGACGCGCGTCACTCACCGACGCTCGTGTTGCCGCTGACCACCGAGGAGGGGATGCCGGGAGGTAGTGTCGAGCTGCCGTGGTGACTCCGCGTCGGAGTCCCCTCCGACGAGTCGTCTGCAAAACGACGGAGGGGAGACGGGTCAGTCACCGAGTAAATATGCAACAAAAAGCAGCACTCGATACACAGATTCGAAAGGAATATGATGATTGTTGTAGAAAACCGAGCCACCTCTCACACGCTGTATTCCTTACGTCATCGTGTCGCAGCGCCAACTGCCGCCGCGCGCCCGAGCCCGGCCGGAGGTCCACAGTGCACACACAGCTGTGCGCCATAAAACTAGCGCCGCAGGCGCAGGAAATGCGGCCGCCGGTCCCACGGCCTCGACGCGCCCACACAAACACGGTCCTAAGCACACACGCACAATACACACACGAGGCACGCTACATTCTACTAATTCATAACACAATTCTATTACACTCCCCCCTGATTTATAAATCACCATACTGCGTCAGTGTAGCGGGACGCCGCTCCCGCGTGCTCCTGCGAGCAGCTGCCGACTCCTCGCCATCGTGCGAGGCCCCCTCCGACTCGCCTCGAGCCGCAGCGTCGGGAGTGACACGCTGCTCATAAAAGATAATTGGGGCGCCCTCGTCGTCACTCTCACTGATCGGCGGACTTCTGCCCTCGGCCGGCTGTGGGAGAACGGCCAGCCTCAGGTCCCGCACATGGCGCGGCACTCCATCCACCTCAACACACTGTACAGACACAATACGGCTCACCGTCCCAAGTGAACTGGCCACGTCACAGCGGCGGCTCGGGTCCCTGACCCAAACCTTGTCCCCGACCGTAAAGCGGCTGATATCGGCATCAGCTGGCGTGTCTACATCTGGGACTTTCACTCGGTAATTAAACAGCGTTTCCATGGGGCTGGAGCTCTGATCCTCCGCGCGTGGCATCACGTTATAGCGATACACCGCCTCCACCACCGAACACTTTTTCCTGGCCGCTAACGTTTTGATGGAGCGGTGGTTGCGCTCCGAGATGCCATTACCGGACGGGACATGAGCTGCTCGATATCGAACGGAGACTCCCCACCGACTGACGAACTCATTGAACACGGCACTTCGAAACGATGGATAGTTATCCGTCAGCAGCTCAGTGGGAGCGCCTCGCTCCAGGAAGATTGACTCGAGCTGCGCAATGACACTCTCAGCGTCCTGTCGCTTTAGGCGCCTCCAGATCGCGTAGCGAGACGGCCCACAGTCCACTAGGGTCGGGTAGAGTTGGTTGTCGGCGTGACAGACGTCCATGCTCACTCTTTCCCAGCACTCGTTCACCCCTAGCGTGCCGCGTACCCAGCGCTGCGGCGCAGGGTCGACCGATTGGCACGCCTGACACTGGCGGATCACGGCACGCACCTGAGCCCTGGTGACGTCAGAGCTCTGCCTCCTGCATAGTCTCAGGGTTCGTGTGATGCCAGGATGGCCGCTGGTGTGGTGAATCCGTGCGATGTCGGGTTCTGTGACGACGGCACCGCACACCATCGACGCGCCCTGCGGGGTCAGCCACTTTTTCGGCACTCTCGTGAGCGCGTCGGCCCGGTTCTCAGCCGATGGGACAAATTTCACGCAGAGTTGCATGGCATATTCTTCACCCAGCTTCTTCACTGTCTCAAGACGCCTCCGAATTAGCATCTCGCTCGCTGCCTTGGTTTTTACACGGGCTCTGCCAGACAGGACGTCGGACAGCCAGTGATAGACGGTTCGCGAGTCGGTCATGATCGTCACATTCTTCAAATTCCAGGACAGTGCCAGATTGAGCCCTCGTATCACAGCATCTAGCTCTGCGAGATTGATGTGGGTGTCCGAGCTCTTCCGCAGCCAGCAGGCGTCTTCAACGACGCAGTCGTTGATCTCCAGCACGGCCCCGATGGCGAGGGAGCTGGCATCGACCCACACCACACCTGCACCGTCTCCAGAGACATCCCACCGGCCCCGCGCGGGGTCAGATGTGTTCACACGCTCCACCATCTCAATGACCATTGCACAGAGCTCCGGGTCAGTGACCTCGTCATCCCATCCACTGGACACAGCGGTGACACGCCTCTTCAGATATGACGCGGCCACGCGGAGCCAGCCGGCCACAGGAACAAGACTGGTGAGTCGTCCGCACAGAGAGAAGACTGCCCGTCTCGTCAGTTTAGGGGGCGGGCTGATGTCGGTTCTGTCGCGCCTCCAGAACAGCCCGTCTCGCTCCCCCCAGACCCTTAGGCCAAGCACACGGGCACCATCGATCACACTTTCTGGCGCTTTGCAGTCCAAGCCATGGTTCTCGAGATGGGCCTTCACCTCTGCTGCGGTGGCGACCTCCTCATTCACAAATATGTCATCGACGTAGGAGGATGTCGCGCTGTCTATTCTCTGGTCCAGCCCGAGAGCCATGCTGAGCACTTTTTTCATCACCAGCGGCGCACAGCCGATTCCAAACCCTAGTCTCGTCAGACACCACCTTTTGCCCTGAAACACAACAGTCTGGTAGGGCCACAGAGACTCGCTCACATGCACCTGCAGGTAGGCGTCTTTGAGATCCAGAAGCGACACGTTCCGTCCGAACCGGCGCCACTCGCGAATTTTCTCGCTACACACGTCTGCGGCAGCCGTATGCGAGTCCAGATACTCATTCAGCTCTCTGAAGTCCATGACCGGGCGCACTTTGTCTTTGTTCGGCTGAATCACCGCCATCAGCGGTATTGTGCCCTTTGCCTGTCCGTGGACACGCTCGTCATAGGGAACAAGCCATCCGTTTGTCACCCACTTTGTCAGCTGTCGCTCATACTCCTGCCTGGCCTCTGATGGTATTGAGTACTCCTCCGCTTTGTTGAACAACTGTCCTGGCTCATCCCCACACCATTTCAATTGCATAGACCACTTTTTCTGGCTCTCATCGTAGCTCACAATAAAGTCCTTCTCCTCCTCGCGCCATATACCCGCCGCCGCCTCCGGCGCCGCCATTGCCCGCGTCTCGGTCACTGTCAGGGCCCCAATTGCCGCTGACCCAGATTCCGCCGCCTCGGTGGGTGCAGTCGACTCGGCCAGTGCCGCCGTCTCAGCTGCCACAGGCGCCGCCTCAGGCACCCGTCTCTCAGCCGCCGCCGCCGTCCCAGCTGCCGCCGGCGCCGTCTCGGGCGCCCGTCTCTCGGCCACCGCCGCCGGCGCCGTCTCGGGCGCCCGTCTCTCGGCCACCGCCGCCGTCCCTGCTGCCGCCGGCGCCGTCTCGGGCGCCCGTCTCTCGGCCACCGCCGCCACCCCGGTCGTTTCAGCTCCGAACCTCACATGGTTCTCAGCACTCACCGTCACGCCACCCAGTGCACTCACGCCGTTCATCCCCAGGATAAACTCAAAGCCCAGCGGCTTCCGTGACACCACAAGCACGCGCACTGATATCGAGTCGCCAGATTGCGATCGCACCTCCACGACACCCGTTCCCTCGCACCAGTATCGGTCACCGCTCACCGTCATCACGCTCACTGCGTCTCGACTCCAATTTCGACACACCGACACGTGCGCTACACACAAGCTGCATCCCGTGTCCAGCAGGGCGTCACAGGTGGCGCCGTCCACCGATAATCGCACAACGGGCAGCGCCCCGCTCACTGGAGACCGGGAGAGGAGGCTGGCGCCGAGCCCTCCTCTCCACCGTCGTTTTCCGGACAGGACGAGGCGATATGACCGGGCCGGTTGCAGCGGAAGCAGCGCACACTGCGCCGACCGCCGCGGGCCCCGCCGCGCTCCCGCTGACCGCGAGCAGCGAGACAATCCCGCGACAGGTGGTTGGGCTGTCCGCATGAGTGACAGGTCACGAGGGGTGGCGCCGCCGACGTCCGCGCTGCTGCTCCCGTCGCTGCTGCCATGGCAGTCTCTTCTTCATCGGCGAGCACAGCTCGGGCCCGGCTGATTAGCTCGCTCAGCGTCATGCTTTCGACGCGGCTTCCTGCACGAAGCACACGGCGGGTGGTCTCCGGCAGTTTTGCCACGAACGCGCAGGCTAGGCCGCCGTCTGACATACCGCCAAACAGGCTGGACAGGCGACGCAGCTCTGCGACGAAACCATCAACCGGCTCGCCTCGACGGAGCTTCATCTTCTCAAACCGGTCATAGGCGTCAAACTTATCCTCTGCGAAAGCCGAAATCAGGCCATTTTTGATGGTCTCGTAGCCAGCCTTGTCCTGCTCGTCCAGCTGCTGATAGACAGCGAACGCCCCGCCAGTTAAGCGGAGGGGAACGACGACGTGCAGCGCGTCGATGCCACGTAGACGGCACACCAGCTCCACCTTCTCCAGCCACTCTGTGACAGGCTGAGTCGCTCCGTCGAACTCAGGTATGAGTCGGAGATCGGCTGCAGCGTCCGCCGCACTCGCCGGCTTCACTCCACTCTCAGGCGCACTTTTCTCGTCCTTCATGGCTCTTACTCTCTGTCTCTCACACAAAGCCGAAATAGCTTGTGGAAAACCGAGCCACCTCTCACACGCTGTATTCCTTACGTCATCGTGTCGCGGCGCCAACTGCCGCCGCGCGCCCGAGCCCGGCCGGAGGTCCACAGTGCACACACAGCTGTGCGCCATAAAACTAGCGCCGCAGGCGCAGGAAATGCGGCCGCCGGTCCCACGGCCTCGACGCGCCCACACAAACACGGTCCTAAGCACACACGCACAATACACACACGAGGCACGCTACATTCTACTAATTCATAACACAATTCTATTACAATTGTCATTTGATTCAGCATTTAGAAGCGACAGTTCACCTGATTTACTCGATTATGGTTGGTTACATATTAGGTAGTGATGTGAGGTATCTATCAAATGCAATTCTCTCCTTAGTGAATTCAAATCTTTACGTGTGACCAGCAAACGACACCCTAGCTACGGGTAGCACAGCTGGCAGGTGCAGAGCCCAACAGTCGCCCAACACATACACGTCGAGTCTTTCGCACAATGTCAACAGACTGTGTGGCAGCACACATCCGGCCCTCTTTCTCCCAAACCGAGCGTGAGAGAACACGGTGCCATGCACAGTGGCCCTTATCTTGTGTGTGCAACAACAAACAGCAGCGATTACTCACTGGTGAGGGCGGTAATATTGTCTGCGCTGCCGAATTTGTTCTTCAACAGGTGTGCAATCTCACGAGGTTTGGACATGACTGACCTGGAACAGCAGAGAATCACGTCAGTTCATCGCAGCAGTGACTATTGTGTGTCTGTGTAGCTAGAGATGAACCGATATCAGCACTCTAACGTCAGATGAGAGATACACAAACGAATTCCATAGTATCACTGAACCCCGCCGTCCTCTCCCTCACGAGTCCAGCGTCCATGTCAGCACGGCCTGCTCCACATACAGACAGGCGGGCAGACGCACTATCGCATACAGACAGACCGACGAGCAACAGGCAGCCGTCGGTGCTGACACGACACCTAGGCGGGTCCCCCGCGGAGTCTGCCGGCTGACACGGCGTGCTGCCAGCGCTGACCAGCACACTCCCGCTCCCATCGACCAGACTGAACAGTCAACACTACATACCAGCCGCCACGACTGAACGCCACAGCACTAATGGCACTGGACGGTCCGTGTCGGCTGCGGTAATGCACTAACCGTTCACCGCACCGAAAGGAACACAATGGTATGATAATGAAAACGTAGTACGAGGCAGCGGGCGTTCACGGTTCGACAATCACCGGGGTACAGCAGTTAGTTTCTGCGGCACCAAAATGTTCCTCACAGTCACAGACCACGCTAGCATGGCACCGATCACCACCGTGATGCATTTAGCTCACGCTGCTACAGCTAACGCTACCCCCTGTCCCTCGTCTGGCCCTATACACGACCACGCGTCAATTGTTCACAGCTGAACTTGCTGCTAATGACTGTATGTAGATTGCTGACCAACACAACCGCTGCAGTCCATCCTCCACTTTGCACTGAACGGATTCCACAGTCAACCGCCAAACTACTGCCCCGGCCCACCGTCTTTAACTGTCCAGTGTCCACAGAAGTACACCGTTCACATGACTCTAATGTCCACTTTCCACCATCCACTTCCCACCGACCAAGAGTCCACAATCAACCACCAGCACACTTCAACCCACCATGCACGACGCCCCCACCGCCACTGCCGCCACCAGCAGTACCTCACCTCTCTACCCTCACTGTAACCTCCACTCCAAGACTGAGCTGCCATCCGGTATGCCAGCGACACTGCTGTCCCCCCCCCCCCCCCCTCCACCGGTCACAATGCACACACAATGGAACAAACGTGACTGAACACACACACGGGTCGACCGGTGGAGGCCGGTACACTGCCACCAATGTAACAGCCGCTGCCACCCCGCGCCCCGAGCCAGCGTTCAGTGACGAATGAGAGGTGATAGCCGCAGCGACATAGGACCGGCGGGTGCAGGCCACTGAATTCCGAGCGCCGTGTGAGGTCGGGGGGCGGCTGGCGGCGGCGAACGGGTGAAATGATGATTGGAGGGTAAAACGAGTGATGAATGGAGCAGGATGTTTTGTGTTTGGCTGTGCACCCGGTAGCAGTGGAATGGTATGCAAACTGTACAGAGCGTAGGACAAAGGGGTACCGCGGCTCACCGGGTCACGAATGGAGGACATTGCAACAAAACCATTTGTACAACCTGCACGAGCTACTGTCAAACAAACAGCTTGCACAGCAGCCATGCATCGATGTAACTATGGAGTTGTCTCATTCACAACACTGTACAATGTTCACATGGTGCCATGGCACTGGCGTCTGATTTCTCTTACGCAAACACACTTTTATCAAGACACAGTTTTAAACACGCCCTCCTGCCATGTATCACAAGACGACTACCAACTTCACACTAAATTGGCCATATCAATCTATTCTAACATCGCGTCTTTGAGCGTGGGCCAGCGTTGGATACTTACTCAGCGGCTCCCTGGATCCCGCCCTTCATGTTTCCAACCACGGCCCTGGAAACGGGAAAGGAATGAACGTTAGAAGAGAGTCTGGAGAACGAAATCAATGCAATCGTAGGTACTCAACGCGGTGATGGTGCAATGATAAATATTATAAATCACTAGTTTGGACCGACCAAGGAGGCTGACGGCTGTATTAATCTATCCATGAAGACGGCATAAAAATCACCCATTCACTGGGAAGACGGTAGAGTCCGAAGCAACATAAGACATTTAGTGAAACTATTTATACAAAACACCCCACCCAGCCCCGCGGCCATGCTTCAGCGGCAGTTCTTACCCGGACAGTCCTGTGATGCCGTGCCGAATGTTGCCACCCACGTTCCTGCGGCAAACAATGGCTCCGTTACTGCCTGTCGGGCCTCTCCAAAGGTCACGGGCACTCACCCCGTACAATATGGTCAGAGCGGGGCAACATTCAGTGGTCCCACGGAACAGGGAACGATTTATAGAAAGATCGATATGTAAGAGAGGCACAATGAACTCACGTACCGGTCACACTGTAGTTTGTTAAAATGCTTCTCAGTCTGCATGCATCCGACATTTCCGCGCCGTATTGGCGTATTTTGTAGTTAACCCATTATTACAGCAATAGTCCGACACAGCTACTTAATGCAACATCACAACTACCTAATACGCCAACAGGCCAATATTCTGTCACCACCGAAGCAACTCCTCTCAGCAAACTTCCCTAGCTAATCCCTGGTCAGCACCACTTACACCGCACCTTCCCTTCACGTTGCCGTTATTGTCTTCCCCTCCCATCTAGCTTCCTCGTCCCCAAGTCTTGACTGCCCTCCGCGTCCCCACCCACTATCTGCCAGCATTTCTCTCGCCCTCCCTAAACTCCAACCTAGCGACACCCACCTAAGTCCCTGCCCGACATCCTTCAGCATCTCCTTGGGCGGCCGGTACGGCAGGCCCGACGTCTCCAGGTCCTTGGCGCGCCGCGTGTACGCCTCCAGCTTGCGCTGCTGGTGCGCCATCTGCTGCGCCGCCTTCTGGTTCTTCTTCTCGAAGAGCGCCTTTAGCTTCTGCAGCTGCGCCCGGTCCTGTACCGTCGCAGTCTGAATCAGGTACTCGTTGACGTTCTCTGAAAGAGACGACGGGTAAAGTTAATGTGAATCTCCCTAGAGGCTTGGAATGCTCCCAGCAGAGCACAGCTAGGTGTTCAATAATTTATTGTGTATCAAGTGCAGTGATTTTGAGCTGATCACACGGCGCAGCTAACGAGAAGAGAGAAGAGAAATGTCGCAAAAGTCCGGAAGACAGCGAGGTCTATGGTTTAGGTGGCGCCGCTCGACAGCGATTGAGCCATTACTTGTGTAAGAACAGCTCGATAGATGGCGGTACCATACGCCGCGTACGGTCAGCGCGAGCCGACAGACAGCACAGTCGCCACAAATAGTCTCGCATCCTGAGATGGCGACGGTCCGCTGCCAAGTGACACAGCTCATCGCCTGTTAGCGAGAAAATGAAAGGCATTCCGACAAAAATACCAACAGAAGACATCCGCTTAACATAGCTGACATCTGGCTAAAACAGTGCGCGCTCCGGCTAAAACGGTGACTTTTAGCGCATCCGCGGCATTCCTACACAGTAAATACAACGCCAAGCCTTCAGCCCCACGTTCCCACAGCAGTTCACTTCCCATACAGCTCCCATGACCGGCCCAGGAAGCGCTCCACGCCGCATCTCTCCCACCCCACCGGGCGGAACCGCACATGATCCGCTCGATCCCACCGTCCGCCGACCAAGGTCGGGGTCTTATCAAGGTCGCTGTTCCGAGAGCGGCGCAGGTCTGACCCGCGGTATCAGTGCGCTATCTGCCGCCCTCTGTGACCTACCTGTCCTCCACTCTCAGAGATCAGCGAGCAGGTGCTCAATGAACCTCTCCTTACACCAGGATAGGGAGACCCGCAGTGGAAATCCACCTAGGTGGTGTGAACACTGAGTAGCCCTTTTACTGTACTTATTTTAGTCGTTAGCATTGAGTAGCCCTTACTGTACGTTTTAGATAACAACTGATACTCGTGCGTCTATCCGTGTATGATATCTGTACATCAACAGCTGTTTCAGCTCTATACAAGTGGAACAGCTGATCTAAGCAAGCCTTGTTGGGCTGTCGAGCTTTGTGTTTGCGCTGCGTAGTAGGCTGCTCGCGGTCATCCGATCACATTCCGGCACGACACCCAGCACGCGTGTCACGGCAACTGTGCACGGTGAAACGTCACGTTTATATAAAGTCCCAATGCCATCACTGGATTGTAGCTCCCGACTCCAGCTGATGACCATTTATTACAACAGCTTTCGCTTCTTCTACCAAGGAACCAAAGCTTGAACGCTTGAATGAGACGTCCTAAAACTTTCCTAACGAAATCGAACCTAAACTGCCTAACACTTAAATGCTAATTGCACCGGCGTTCAACCACGACCTTGTCGGTGTCAGGCCCCTTCGACTCACTCAGCTCCCCATCCCCTTCCCTCCTATCCCATCCTCACGTACCATCGCGCACTCTCTGCTGTTGTTTGATGGCCTCCTTGCAGCGGGCGATTTTGGTCTGGACCGTCTCGGCGGCCTCCCTGACGCGGGCCGCCTCGGCCGGCTCTAGGTGGTCGACCTCGTCGACATCGGCCCCGGCGCCCACCAGAGGCGTGGTCTGAGGAGACGGGCAGAGGTCAGGTCACAGGTCAGTCAGGGTCACCGCGTCTACCAGAGGTGTGGTCTTAGGGGAGATCAGAGGTGAGGTCACCAGATAGCCAGACAGGGCATCAGCGCTTACCAGAGGCGTGGTCTCAGGAGAGGGGGCAGAGGACAGCGGTCAGGTCAGAGGTAAGGTCAGGGTACAACGCCCGTCAGTAGCGTTGTCTGATGGAAAGGGCCGGGTCAGGTTAAAAAAAATTGTCAGCATGTCAGGGGAGCTGCAGGCCAAACCAAATACTTGAATGTCTCAACATAAAAGGTTTGGCGTTGGCCACTCATCACACTGAAACCACTACAATTCGTGCAGCGGATGTCGTATCGAATTATAGTTAGATAGATATGTCCGGTTGCATCAGTGATTGCAACATGAGTGATACGGCATGTCAACATGTTTGACAGGCGTCGTATCGAAAGTCACGAAACTATCACGAAATGACCAGTCTCACATCCGAACCATTCGTCATCTCTCACGGCCACAAATTTAATCAAACTTGGAAACACGCGAGAAGGTTAATTTGAGTGAAGTGCCGAATTCGCTGAAAGGTTAGAACAAAGGTCGGGACAGGGCGATAAAGGCAATTAACGTCTGGGGCGTGGCCCCGGTGTAATATAATCCATAGGTTCGATTACAGATGTGCCCATAGATCATATGAGCTGCTAACGGTGCAACCCACAGGGTTACCCCAGGTGTCAGGTTCACCCCCTCAGGGGTCAGCGTCAGGTCACGTCAATACCCGCCCTCATCCAGTCAGCAGAGAACACCTGATGAAGCACGTCTCCGGGCAAGTGCGGTGCAGATTGGTCTCTGTTCAGACCAGGTAACAAGGCACGAGCAGGAAAGGCGAGCATCGCCGGGTCAAAGTCCGCGCCCTGACTCACAGAGCACAACCGCAGCGCGTGCTCCCAGTTGAGTTGAGGTCTCGAGACGGGATAACACCTGATCGACTCCGTATACAAGCGTTATCAATCGCAGTTTGATGCCGCAAAAAGTATTCATATTTATTTATATCGCCCCATGTGGCGTCATATCAAGTGCTCTCTTATGGTGATCGCAAAATCCATCTAACTAAGTCATTACACTACACAACCGATAAGCTCACGAATCCACTGCGGTCATTGACTACACAACAGATAGGCGACGACAGCCGTGTAATCCTGATAGCAGCGACGATCGTCGACCGACCCTCGTCCGATCGAGGCGCGCAGTGGAAAGTGCTGTCATCCACAGAGCAGCCAGGCAGGATCGAGGGTCAGTTACGATAACCGGGCAGATAGGGAGAATACAATCCACTAGCGACTAGCGACGATAGCGGGAAATGGTTACAGTCACCGCGGCGACCGCAGACGGAAATAGACTGACACGGAGGGGCAAATGTACAGTACACGGGATCAGAGTCGGAAGTACGTCTGCTGATGGCCTAGGGGTGTTGTGAGGTAACGAATTCAAAGTCCTCAGCTCTCACCCACGCACAAGCATTGCCCAGTTCTTTTTTGCCTTTACCAGAGTACGTCGCAGACCCACGCGTATTGGAAACCAATGGCCGGCGCTCCATAATTAGGATACATTACCCCACAATCAATCTCAATGCAGCCTACTCCATCCTTTCCGTTCCCGCCCCCTCGCCGTCGCTCCACCTACTCAACGCTTACTTGGACTCGGACTCGAATTCGGAGGGACAGACTCAGATTCAGACTCAGCAGACTCCGGCACACACTTATACTCAGACTCATACTCGGGCTCGACACACGTTTATACTCGGAGACTCGGATTTAGACTCAGACTCCGAGATTTTGACTCAGATAAAGAATCATTAAAAAACACCCTCTGACTCACCGACTCATCGTCATCGGCGGCCGAGTAGGGCTCGTCTCCCGAGTCGCGCCTCTGCCGCAGGGTGGCCGCCGCGTCCAGGTCGGAGCGGTGACGCCAGGCGGCCGGCGCGCCGCCGCCGCCGCCGCGCGGGGACCGCCGCCGCCGCGGCCGAGACGGCGTGCTGGCGGCCGCCACGCCACCGCCGCCCGTGGAGGAGGGTGCCGTTGACTCGGAGCCCCATTTGCTGCCGGCGGTGGGAGACGGTCAGTGGGCTGGAGACGATCAACATACGTAACTTGGACAAATGGCGCTACCCAGAGAGCAGCCGGTAATGATGGGCCACCGGCAACCCGGCAGCGCACGGCGCAAGTCAAGTGCATCAGCAAAGTGCAGTGGCAAAAACAGTGACAAAGCAAAAACGGTAGCGTGACGCTCGCGCCAGACCCACTTAGGATTAACGGCCCAGCAAGTAGATTCGACAGTAGATGTGACAGTTACAGCACGAGTGACGGACGGATGTCAATCAGTGACCCATACGCCGCACACGTGTCAAACACTACAAAGAGAGAAAGACCCCCCCCCCCCCCCTCAGAGAACAAACTCACTACAGAAGATACCATGTTAGTGAAAGTTCGGCCCGGCCCGCATACACGGGCACGGATAGGTGTTAGAAAACCCCACCGCTACCACTATCTAAAAACCCATCCTCAGCGCATCGTGCAAACTGCACGGCTACGAGAATAACTAGGTCGCTCGATGGATAAGTGGGACGAGGCGACATCTGTGCCGTCTGCAAAGCCTCTGCACGGATCCTCGCTAGTTCTCAGAACGTGTGGGAGACGACCGAGGTTGAGGGCGGAGGGTACATCTATCCGACAAAACTGCAACGGTACAGGTGTGCGAATCGCCGCTGCAGCCGCTGAACATTCTGTATCCAGCTGGGAGGAACACGGAATGCATACCGATGACTCGTAAAAAGCAGCGGAAAGGACTCTTCGTGCGTGACAGTGACTTGGGAGCGTGACACTTTGTATCATATCGGTTCAGCCTCGTTTATGTGAGAAGCATGTTTAAATGTTGTGTCAGCAACGTTCTCATGGTTATTTGTGTGCCAATATGTTGCAATGCTAAGCAAGGAGAGGAAAAGCGCCGCTATATGCACGGGAGGTAGCTCATGATGTACTACGTGCACATTCGATGTGTGGCCTTTCATCACATGGCAAATAGAATGAATAGCGGATCGCTGCATAGACAGACCTGACAACTGTGAATGTAGAATGAATGAACGCCAGCGGGTCATGTGGTACAACAATGAATGTTATCGGGATCCAATGAAGGGAGGACACTGAAGACACCACAATGGTGAAAATGGCAACTGATAACAGGGAAACAAACCGCCAGGAAAACAGAATGCATCGAAATGGAAAGCGGTCAGATAGACGTAACAGTATAACACAAAGAAAATATTGTATAATGGGCAGATGAAGCATGAATATGAAACAGGAAAGTGAGGTTGAAAGTAAGGTCGCAGGCGTAAAAACGCCTGGTAAACAGTCGGCAAACAATGGGGAACAATGGGGAGTGGTAAAGGTCGAGAAACGGGACACGGGCGAGGGCGCAAGACCATGGAGGGAGAGGGAGAGAGAGAGAGAGAGAGAGAGAGAGAGAGAGAGAGAGAGAGAGAGAGAGAGAGAGAGAGAGAGAGAGAGAGAGAGAGAGAAAGAGAGAGAGAGAGAGAGAGAGAGAGAGAGAGAGAGAGAGAGAGAGAGAGAGAGAGAGAGAGAGAGAGAGAGAGAGAGAGAGAGAGAGATCCGCCGCCCACGATCCGGGCCGCGTATCCCCCTCCCACCAACATTCCTAATCCTCACAGCGCACCTAACATGTCACCCAACACCATCACTCGTGGGCGAAATACGCGTCCCTCTGTAGACGGATCTGCGTGCCTCCCACGTGCCATACATACAGGGTGTCCCAGAATTACCCGGACATTTATTTTCTGGCTAAAAGTACGACTGCGCTCGCTTCTAATGATATACAAGCATCATACTTTTATAGGATATCCCTTAGCTATCGAGATTTAGGACTGCGTGCTTTTGGTGGCCGGTAACGACTCGAATCAATTGTTATCCAGAGTCAAGTAAGAGTAGTCCTTTTCCGTTTTCAGCTTAAGCCACTAATTAAAACCATGGTGAATCAACTCCCGTTCTCAACTTTGTAAACGGACTTTCGGTATGGTTTTTGCTGGAGAGCTTCAGCAGCTCATCTGCAAGCAGTTAGGATTGAGCAAAGCGCAATTATATCAGCTAACGAAGCCAGAGAGAGCAAGAGATAAACCTGATTGACAAGCTTGGGCTCGGCCAAAAAGGGCCATGCACTAGTTGTCAAACAAGTGGTTGCTTGTCATAGACAACAAACGTCACCGATCTAGCTAAAAACTAGCTAAACAATAGATCAGGATTATCTACAAAACATTAGTCTACTTTGCACCACTATCTTCGACAAAATTTTGGAATTTGGGGTCCTTCGCCAGAAAAATATGCGAAAACTACGGGAAAAGCAGCGCAAATCACTACAATTCATCCCAAAAACATAACATATACAACAAAACAGTATATTGAAGCACACTTTGTGGTCTAACGAAGGTATTATGTCATTTGAACCGCCCAAAAAAGGCGTGTGTGAACGTCCGATGGCTACAACACCCCAACAGCAGAGACGGCCAGGCACCCGTCGAAAATCAAATTGTGAGACATTTTGAGCCACCGTGCACTCATTGGGCTTGATATGATGGCCCAAAGACAACCGTTGGCACAGAGTACTACTGCGGTAATATTCTACCAGTGCGAAAACTGGATGCCGTGAACCAAATGGCCATGAATGGGTTTGTTTTGTAAACCAAATCTGTTGGAAGCCAAAGGTTGCGCAATGTTCAGACATGGAGCTTCTCCACTCCAGATGTAAAAAACGCAGCAAAAGTGGCGTAGGCAGAAATTTTTGTTTTGTGGGATAATACCTTATGGCCTGGGAACACTCTGATGTCAAGTTTATCTTATATGATCGTATTATCCTCCGGCAAGAGGTCAAAGAAAACAGGCCTACACCCAGTTTCGGGAGACCCGTAAAACAACTGAGACCAGCAATGGCTGGCATTTTCCATCATTGTCGGCTGATCTTGTAACAAGCGTATCTATTGCATGTGCTATTTCACAGCCACCCTAGTTGACTATATAGGACGGTAGAAAGAAAAAAGCGCAATCATGTTTGCCTTATTTTATACGCTAATTAACAATGTCCGGGTAATTATGGGACACCCTGTACGCCCCAGCGTTGCCGCCTGCCAGCGCGTGTAGATCTGCGCTCGGCACCCAACAAAAACTCCAAATCACTGGCAGCAGCTGTGGCGGCGGCTGCAGCAAGACAGAGATGCATACCGCCGCTGCCTGCCCCTTACAGCAGCGACTGCCGAGCAACTGTGTGTAGCCGGGTGTCTGACTCACACACAGCGCACTGTGAGCCCGCACAAAGGCGCACACAGAGCGGCGGAAAAACGCGCACCAACCGACTGATGGATAGACAAGGAAGGGCGGACTGACGAGATGAAGGACGGAAGTGCGGGCGGACGGGACGCGTGGACTGACGGACGGACGGATGGACAGGATTCCGTAGAACTTTCACGCTATTCTGCAGAGAGGCACAAGAAGTGGACAAAGAAACAGACAGGGGGCAAAGTAACAGGACAAGGTGCATAGGAAAGCCAGGCAGGGCGGACCGGCCGGCCGGCGGAGGCGGACCAGTAAGCTGGGGAGAGTGGCCGGAGCAGGACAGAGCAGACGGGGTCGGGTCACCAGGGTCACGGGGGCAGACGGCTGGGCAGTCAGCCAGACAGACACGTCTCGCCAAGATCCGGCACCGTCCGCGAATCCAGATAGGCGTCCGCCGGTGCGCGGAAGGGGCGATAATTTGAGTCAGCGAGGGGCGGTGACACAGCGGTCCATTATCCATGGCCGGTGACGGGGCGGACCGGCCGGCTGCCAGAAAATGACGTCACAGGGGCCATAGTGACGTCACAGGAGGGTCACCATAATATCCAGGGAAGGCGTATCTGCCATAGGGAATAATCAGTTCGTCTTCACATGCACGGGTTTGTATTTGGGCGTGGAGTTGAATGCAGCACACATCAAGACCACAGTGGTAGCAGTGGTAGAAAACAGTCGCTAAATTGTCGACAGATGAGAGTGGTATCGGTGCCAGGCCGCCAGGCTGCTGGGCGCGTGCAGGGCAAACGAAACACAGCGGGCGGCTACCGAGGTAGCAAAACTAAACCGTTAGCGAGAGACCAAACGAGCTGAAAACAGACATAACTCCACTACTACGAGCTAACAAAGGGTCGCCAACGGGCGGAGAGCGCCATTCCAACACAGGGCCGGCACGCCGACAAAGAAACCAGCAAGCGCGTGAGAGAGTAGAGTGTGCTGACTACACCAAGCCTGACAGAGAGACAGAGACTGAGGGAAAGAGGGCGCATACCTTTTGAACAAGGGTAAGCTATGCTGCCTGTTCATGGCCGACGGCCGGGTGGCATAGCAGCCGGTGGCTCGGGCTGCAAGAGGGTGAGGTTCGGTCACAGGGCGGCCGGGCCGCGGCAGCGGCAGGACGGCGCCACCGGGCCTTACACGAACCAATGCACAGTTACAGCCACGGACAGCGGCCCGAGAGAGCCTGAGCTCAATACCCGCAGGAAATACACAGAACTGACAGCAACCGCCTGCAAACTCTCAGAAACTTCCAGAGTACTGCTGTGGCTGGGGAAGCGACGGAATTTCATTAGGCACAGGAACTTTCGTACAAGTTTCGTTAAAATTAATTCTGACTGCTTGCTGAGACAGTGATGAAATGGGTGCAAAGAATGCAGTCGATTACTGTCACCTACCTTCGTATCTACCTTTTCTTAACTCCGCAATTATTCCACGGGTCCTTCACACGAGAAGGAGAAGTTAAACACAGAGTTATTAACTGAGAGAGAAGAACACAGCCAACCAAAACATTAGCCGAGCGGCTACACAGAACAACACACAGAAAGCGGGTTCCGCGCGGCATGTTACGCCACACAAACACACACAGAAGTAACGGAGGGTCGACGGCCCATGCAGAGACTAGACAATTAGTCACGACTGACAGGGCCGATAACAGCGGTGGGCTAACGCGCCGCTGACACGCGGGCCGCTGGCTGAAGCCGTCAGTGACAGGCGGTACGCCGGCACGGGACCCATTGACAGACACAAAATGAGTCCATTTGGACCAGCGGGAAAATGAAAGAGACGGCGAGAAGCGAAGCGGGAAGGTGGTGGGGACGAAGGAATGCAGTCCCGACTTGTAATTTAGAGAATGTGTCTGCATATACTACGAAATATTCCCTGGAGATTAGGCATTGCTCTGTAACAGAGATGCATCTCAAACTGACCAGACGTGCTCTGTCAGGGAGATGTCGGAGTGATGAGTCACAGGGCTGGTATGGACCAAGACAGTGCACGTAAGGACCGGATAGGAATGATGTTTATTGCGTAATCTATGTCAGACGTCAATCCGAACAGACTGAGTGAACCGGAACAGACAGGTCCGGTCAAGACGGAACAGGATCCAGCCTGGACCGGACCAGAACATGTCGCGCCACAGGTAGCGAAAGTGATTATTGCGTGGGTATATGGCAATAGGAGTACTACCTTATCCGGTATGACAGCAAACCGTCCTGCCTTCGGCATGTGGGAATGTGAATCACACACTACCACAGTCGCTGACCACGGCCCACAGATGTTCCCGTACGGCACGGCACACCTGTGCCGTGGTGTGGTGAAAAATGGGACACACAGCACCCGGGTACGGTTTGCTCAGGTGTGGCACACTCATGACGGACATCAGGTGGTATGGAACTGAAGCAGGGCGCAGGGTAGATAGGGACGGATAGTGGGACACTCAGCGGTTCAGACTGATGCCGACGGGTTTGGTTTCGCCACTACCACTCAACTAGAGTCGGTCTCGGAAAGGGCACACATTAGTGGTCACGCTAGGGTCTGTCTCGTTTAGGTTGGACCGGTACTGTCACCAGTGGTTTGTGTCAGGCTGTGGCGATGGCGGGGTTCACAGAAGGCACGCCACTCAGCCGCGGCTCGGCTCACGTATCGAGCGGACTCCACATGGCGAAAACCGACGGTGAAAGGGTGAAAACGGTACCAGCCGGTCCGATGAAAGCCATGATGCTGGTAGCGGTTGGATTTGGGCAAAAAAGCGTACAAATAAACCGCATACCTGGATGATTGTGGTCGGCACCAAAATCTTACAAAGCAGCTGCCGTGTGATAGGCTGAAGAGAAGACCTACCTAGAACATCCTCCCTTCAATCGATTCTGCACGCCACTAAGCCACCCGTAAACACTGCACCTATTAGCTGTAACTACCCTCACCCTATTCAATAACCCTGCTCCCATCTGCGCCTCTCTTCACCCTCCACCGGCCGTGCACGGGACGTACCTGGGCGTGGCGGGCGTGGCGGGCGTGCTGCGCGACACGGGCGCTGGCGATGTGCTTCGGGAGCGCGACGGCCGTCCGCTGCCGCTCAGCGGCTCCATACCGGGCGTTCCCGAGCTGGCTCTCCGCGGACACCAGCGCGGCACGTCGAGGAACACATCGCCTGCGGAGAGAGAGCAGATGGGGTTAGAGAGGCAGACGGGGAGAGAGAGAGAGAGAGAGAGAGAGAGAGAGAGAGAGAGAGAGAGAGAGAGAGGGAGGGAGGGAGGGAGGGAGGGAGGGAGGGAGGGAGGTAGATCGCCTGAGGAAGGGGTGGGTGGCTAGAGCGAGAAATACAGCGGCGGAGGGAAATGGAACGGTCAGGGCGAGATATATACCTAACATCCTAAGGGAGAAATGGGAGAACCAGGGCGATAACATACCACCAGACACCCAAAATGGTGAGCCAGAAATATCGAATCTCAGGAGAAAGAGGAATAATCAAGGCAAAAAATTGCGTGACGGGAAGGAATGAAGAAGCTAAACGATTAGCAGCGTAACGGAAGAGATAAGTGGGTTGTCATGCAATGACCATGGTGGCATGTTTAGGAAATGCTGAATGGATGGTTGCCGCAAAGAATGATATTGAGAGACTGTCAACTGTCAGCGTGAACAAGACCACCATTACTGGCATCCGTGCCGGATAAATCATGGAAAGGAGGGGCTTCGAGAAAGCCACTGAATGCCACCGGCAATGAGGTCAGATCAACCGGTCGATCACGATATATCACGAATGAACCACGAATAACTCCTTCCAATCACGACCAACCACAACCATCGGGACGCACCCATGCACCGCACTCACACACAAAGGCGCACGCGGAATGAATCACAGCACAGCTGCCGCCGTCACCGCTTGCAATCTCGACCGGTCAGCGGGCGGCACAGAGAGCCCCCTGGCGGTGGGTCTCGAGCGTGGGCCGCACGCGCTTAGTGCGCCCGCACTGACCCGGGCGGGGGAGGGGGGGATACGTCACCGGTGTCGACAGGACCCGTGGCGACCGTCAGAGGCTCCGACCGTGTCACGACGTCTCCGTCAACACTTCATCAGCTCCTCAAAGGGTCTCACCGCGTCTGGTCGACCGACACCGTCCACAGCACAGTCACACGTCTTTCCGCCGGCCGGCGCCCGGCGCCCGGTGGGCGGTGAGCGGTGAGCAATGGGCGGTGGCCGGCAGGCGGTGAGCGGCGGCCGGCGTTCGGTGACTCCTAAGCAGCACCGGCTGATGTCTGGGGGTGACGCCGCTGCCGCCGCCGCCCGCACCACCGCCCGTTGGCCCCGCTGCAATGAATGGGAGCGGCCACTGGACGGTAGCTCTGGCCTGGCGATCGATGGCAGGCGGCCGGCCGGCCACCCGAGGCACCGGGCAGAGGGGAGAGCGACAGAGCGAGAGAGAGAGAGAGAGCGGGGAGGCGGAAACGGCTCAGCCGGCTAGATAAGTTGCAGTTAGGTTAAGTCGATTATCGAGCTCCTGGTGCTAGCTCAGAATCCTATTTCCGTGGACCATAATTAGATAACTCATTCCCTTCAGCAGCCACCTCTCATCCTGCACCTACAATTATCAGAAAATCGAATTCCTCTGATACATAGCAGGCCCATCACCAAGGCAAATTACATTTCTCCGCATGAGGCTGCGACCGGAGCGGACATTTACATAACATCAGCACCGGATCCTCCGGCGGGTGAGCGCCAGACACGGGGATGACGCACGCCGCACTCGGTCACCTCGCCCCACTGATCGGAGCACATCAGACGGAGGGATCCAGACGAGACGGAACAGACATGCGGGTCGACACAGCGTCGCCCAGCAACAGCGACCGCTGCAGGCCACCGACTGAGGCTGAGGGTTTGTGCAGTTTGCAGCGATGCAAGGCCAGAACAGAGCAGGGCCCTCTGCTTCGCCGCCGTAACTCCCCCGGCTGAAAGTTCGTCGAAGGACTTACTGTGAGTGACACAAGTGCGCACGATGGCATATCATAAACGAGGGGCCGTCCCGCGCCGACAACAAAGGCATAATGAGATGCCAGCTGTTTTGTTTAGCGCAGCGCTGATGAGTCTTCCCGAGAGCGACCTTGAGGCACATAATGGCTGCAACGTTGACTCTTTCAGCCAGATGCGTTGTTGTTTGTGAAAAAGACCGACGTCTGTGGTATACACCCTGCGGAGTGTGGCAGCCGTTATCTCATCATATTGTTGTTATGACGGCACCCTATGCGAAGAGCCGTGATAAAATCTGGCACGAGCGCCACGTCTAGAGCAGCATTCAACAACAAATTGCCGCTGTTGACTGCGAGACCGCTGACACAGCAAAACGCAGCGCTCAGTCCCGTCCAACCAACAACACCGTTATCGAAGGCACCCACCGACGCGGCCTTTCGGGGCGGAACGGCGCCCGTTTTCACCGGGCCCCTTCCACGGGTTCCACCTCCCGTGTCCAATCACACACCACCGTCACCGTCTTCGCGTTCCATGCAGCGATTCACCCAAATTTGTCGACATCGTGCATTCCTCGATGACTCAGCCATCCTGCGAGACACAGTCATGACGGACAGAACCGGTTCTGGCGGCCGCGGCCCCACTCGGCGCCTTCGCTAGGCCGCCGAGGTGCGGGCACGTAGGACAGAGGGACTCTGTGGCAGCCACAGCTCCGGAGAAACCATCGGCCCACTCAACACAGAGCGAGCTGAGTGAATAAATGTTAGCACCCACCGCAGCAGGTCGTTCGCTCCAGCCAAGGGGAGATCCAGCGCGACGGACGGATAGAACAGACAACTCACCGCTGGTAGCCTGGAGATGAAAACTTAGAAAGCGGAAGGATTGTTCGCCAGGAAAACGGCTGCACTATTGCGGTTTAATGCCGGCATTGCATATGATCTGTGTGCACAAAGGACTGGAATGTCATGGTGCATGGATTGACAGAGGAAATGCTCCGCACAGCTGCACTATGCATTCAGCAGCTAGCGGCGGTGAGGTCATTTCCTCAGCGCGTGCAGTGGAATACGCCCATCGAAAATTGCGGATTGCATGCTCCGTTTCCCTTGAGAGCATCTACACGCTTCAGGTAACAAACCAGCCCGCTTGAGGAAAATCCGACTGAGAAAAGGAATAGGAAAGCAACAGAGAAAAACGACTTTACGAGCCATTTACGAACTGAAATGAAAAACTAAACCTGCTGGCATACCAACTTTCAAGGCAACAAATATGCCCGTGAGCATGTAAACTAAGTGCTATCATCAGAAGCAAGACAGAAATAGCCACAGCTAGCCGTCAGCAGCACGCTATGCCTGAGATCGGGAAGATTACCGCTATGACGTCAGAGCCCAAAAATACCTAACCAAACGACGGCATTACACCAAAAGCTCCTCTTCTTCAGGCTTGCGCCGCATCCTGAAACCGATGATTGCCCGAATCTAACGCGTTATGCCTTCCGAGGCGCTGCAAATGACCTGCCGCCCGTCTGAGCGACACGCCAATTTCTGGTCTATAAATAATAAATCCGCACCGTCCCCAGCCACCACCGCGTTGCACCGATCCAGCCTTCGCGTAGAGGCGGGATCAGATCCGCTTCCGACGCGTGTGATCCGGATCCCAACCGCACCGCGACCGTCCCAGCCGCGTCAGTCTCGCCGCGGCGCGTCGGGATCGTCATCGATCCGCCGCGGCCGTACCGGCGACCCCGTGCTGCGTCTGTGCTCTCCGACAAAGGCAGCGGGCGCGCACAGCTGTTCCGCCGGCGCTGCCGTACACGTGCCGCGCTGCCAGCCGGTGATAGGCTGCGTGCGGACCGAGAGCTGGCACCCGGGCGGCGAGGCGGCCCGCTCCGTCTCCTGCTCTCCCCGGGACGCCAATATACCCAGTCGTGGAACGTGCCCGGGCTGCACCGCACAGTGCATAACCACGGCGCAGACGACAGAGCAAAACTGACAGCGCGGCAGACGGTGTGCACACAAATAACACAGCGTGTGTATGTACGCACAGATGACGCGGAGTTCGCATACAAACAGCAATCTGCCGCTCATGGACATCGAACATAGCGAGGAAAACATACATCATCAAAGTTATGGAGCTCCCAGTGCAAGCACTCAGGTTAGTGCCGAGTCAGCAGGCACGCGTTAGCAGAACTCGACACGGCCTGTAAAAGCCCACTCTGAATCTGGCCCAGCAGCGAAAACGACCACTCCAGCTCGGCCCAGCCTGGGAAAGCGGCAGTTGGGCCGCAGCGCCGGTCACGTTAAAGGGGTCAGTCCAAAGCGGTCGGCACCGGGACGGCCCGGGAACGGTCCGACAGCACGAGACACTGCTAGCGCTGACCAGCTGACCCAGAGAGCCTCCCGGCTACCAGTTCCCAGCGCGGCGGTCACAAAGGCTGAGCTGACGTACCCAGCGAGTGCCCAGGCTCAACTGCCGCGCCCAGCAAACACAGGGTTGGCGCACCAAGCATAGGCAGCCAGTAACGTATCAAAACGCCCGCCGATCGTCCGACCAGCGAACAAGATGAAAGATCAGGGGCCTAACAGCTCAACAGCCACGTGAAATATCAAACCATCAGACCAACATCACCCCGGAAGAGGCGTCCGTACGCTGCTCACCACTGCGCCAAGGTTGGGAACGCGACGCAGCCGGCCAAGGTTACCTACCGCCCTGCTCGTCGTACTCACCGCAGAGTTCACCAGGCCCGCCGCCGGCGCCAGAGCCGGCGTCTGACTCGGGCGTCCCTGGAGAGGACCCTGGCAGCCACATCCTCTCGGAAACACAGTTCAACTGTCCGCGGACCGCGCTGAAAGTACCGCAGCGCACCGCGTCTCGTGACAGGACAGAGGTCGTCGTCTGGTGCAATGTCTGGGCGGATGCAAAGTTCAAAAGGCATTCACGTGTGCACCGGAGTAGTTCGTCGGAGTAGAGGCTCACAGTACCCACTGCAGGACCTCCCAGTGCTCACTGTCGCGACTCTCAGTGCCCACTGTGACGTTCGCAGCTCGCCAGCAGCCTCCGCGCTGCGCTGATCGAACCAGCGGCCCCGCCTGCAGCGGCGCTCACTCCCAGCGCACCAGCACGGCGGTGACATCAGCACCGGCGCCGGAGCCGCCGCCGGCACGGCGCTCCATCACCGTGTGCCCGCCGTG